GCTGTATCTCTGTTCATCTTACCATTGTCCATCCTTTTGTCCCATATTCCCCAGGCTCTGTGAGTGCCACACAGTGGGGAGGGGGTGAGGGCCACCATGTCATCATATCAGAAGGAACTGGAGAAATACAGAGACATAGATGAAGATGAGATCCTAAGGACCTTGAGCCCCGAGGAGCTAGAGCAGCTGGACTGCGAGCTGCAGGAGATGGACCCTGAGGTAGGGGCTCCAGCACAGGGAACCAGGGGCTGTCCCAGGCATTTGGGAAGGGTGTTGGGCTCTGGGTGGCTGAGAATAGGGTTTGCTACAGGACCTAGAGTCCTAAGAAGGCCCGGGGAAAGGTGTCTAGAGATGTTTTAGGGAGCCCTTGCAATACCTAGGTCAGAGGGGAGGTCTGACTTGCTCCCCAAAACTCATCCCTAAGAACATGCTCCTGCCAGCTGGACTAAGACAACGTGACCAGACAAAGAAGAGCCCAACGGGGCCACTGGATCGAGACGCCCTTTTGCAGTACTTGGAGCAGCAGGCACTAGAAGTCAAAGAGCGTGATGACTTGGTGCCCTTCACAGGCGAGAAGAAGGGTATGAGGACCCTGACACCCATGCCTGGTAGAACCCAAGTGGCTGTGCTGTCTCTCACATGCCCCTCCAGCTTCCCTCTCACCTTCCGGCTCCTAGCTGCCTAGGGACTCAGAGGCCCTGGCACTTACATGGCAGCTTGCACTCTTCAGTTCTTGAGAAATCAGGGGACTCAGGAGTACTGAGCTTATAGAGGATTCAGGCTTTCCAGTGTCCCCTTGTGACCCAGCATTCTACCTCCCGGAGAAGAAAAGGAACCTGGAGGCCAGGATCTTGGGAGACATTAACTCTACCTGAACCATCCTTCGTCTCCCCATCAGGGAAACCTTATATTCAGCCCAAGAGGGAAATTCCAGCAGAGGAGCAGATTACCCTGGAGCCTGAGCTGGAGGAGGCACTGGCAAATGCCACAGATGCTGAAATGTGTGACATTGCAGGTGGGTAGCTGTGGGAAGTTGAGGGTGGGAGGATCAGGGGCAGATGGATCCTAGCCATGACATGAGACTAGTGAGGAAAGCCCTCAACCAGAATGCATGCATGTCTTAAGAAAGCCTCAAGCAGTGGTTTCAAGCTTTTATTTGTGTATACATTTATTCATTTTAAAATTTAATAACACTCAAGAGCAATTTTATAGGGGTTGTAAGAGCAAATAAAAGTGGAACCATTGGGTTGGGTGCGGCGGCTCACGCTTGTAACTCCAGCACTTTGGGAGGCCGAGGCGGGTGGATTGCCTGAGGTCAAGAGATTGAGACCAGCCTGGGCAACACAGTGAAACCCCGTCTCTACTGAAATACAAAAAATTAGCTGGGCACGGTGGTGCGCGCCTGTAGCCTGTAGTCCCAACTACTCGGGAGGCTGAGGCAGGAGAATTGCCTGAACCCAGGAGGTGGAGGTTGGAGTGAGCCAAAATCACACCACTGTATTCCGGCCTGGCCGACAGAGCGAGACTCCGTCTCAAAAAAAAAAAAAAAAAAAAAGTGGAACCATCCTGGCTGAAAGCAGGAGGGAGTCTGCAGACTTCCTTTCCCTCTAGTGGCTCATAAGGGACTTTCCATTAGTCCTGTCTCAATGTTTTAGGAACTACAGTCTTAAGAATTTTATGGAGGCCAGGCACGGTGGCTCATGCCTGTAATCCCAGCACTTTGGGAGGCCAAGGCCGGTGGATCACGAGGTCAAGAGATTGAGACCATCCTGGGCCACACAGTGAAACCCCTTCTCTACTAAAAATACAAAAAATTAGCTGGGCGTGGTGGCGTGTGCCTGTAATCCCAGCTACTCAGGAGGCTGCGGCAGGAGAATCCCTTGAACCCAGGAGGCGGAGGTTGCGGTGAGCCGAGATCGCGCCATAGCACTCCAGTCTGGGTAACAAGAGCGAAACTCCGTCTCAAAAAAAAACAAAATAAAATAAGTTTATGGAAAGGACCCCTGGAGCTAAGAGAGGCTGGGGAACTTCTTTGGAAAAGTGTAAGTAGTCAGGCTTTAAAAATGCAGCAGATTCAGAATGAGGTAGGAGGCAGGCTTGGAACAGGTCCCTTTTCACTCCCTGTGACCCCTCTGCTTACCCTCTCCAGCAATTCTGGACATGTACACACTGATGAGCAACAAGCAATACTATGATGCTCTCTGCAGCGGAGAAATCTGCAACACTGAAGGCATTAGCAGTGAGTGTTTTGGGGAGCATGGTCCTCAGGGCTCTGGGCAGGTAGTCCTAGTGTCTGGGAGAAGGTAGAAAAGGGTGAAACTGATAATTCCGAGAGAGTACATGCTGCATGAGTGATAAGAAAACCAGTGGGGTGCCAGGCATGGTGGCTTATGCCTGTCATCTCAGCATTTAGGGAGGCTGAGGTGGGTGGATCACTCGAGGTCAGGAGTTCAAAACCAGCCTGGCCAAAATGGTGAAACCCTTTCTCTATTAAAATACAAAAATTTGCCAGGTACACGCCTGTAGTACCAGATATTATACTTGGGAGGCTGAGGCACAAGAATCGGTTGAACCTGAGAGGTTGAAGCTGTTGTGAGCTGAGATTGTGCCACTGCAATCCAGCCTGGGTGGATGGAGCAAGACTCCCATCTCAAAAGAGAGAAAAAAAGAAAAGAAAACCAATGGGGAGGAGATTATGGGGAACATGTTGGGGTTCCCCTCCTGCTCTCACTAGGTGTGGTACAGCCTGACAAGTATAAGCCAGTGCCGGATGAACCCCCAAATCCCACAAACATTGAGGAGATGCTAAAGAGGGTCCGAAGCAATGACAAGGAGCTGGAGGAGGTGAACCTCAACAATATACAGGTATTTGACTCCCATCCTCCAAACCAGAATGCCAGATACCTGCTGACACCCGAGCCCCTTAGCCCACCATCCTGTTCCCCTCTGGTAGGACATCCCGATAGCCATGCTAAGCGAGCTGTGCGAGGCAATGAAGACAAATACCTATGTGCGGAGCTTCAGTCTGGTAGCCACGAGGAGTGGTGACCCCATCGCCAATGTAAGGCTAGTTGGCATCCCCAGCCCTCTCCCCACATCTCCCAGGCACCCCTTGCGGGACTCATCAAGGGTGTTGCTAGGGAGTGCTATTCTCATCAGCCTTCTTAGGGCAGCCCTCAGGGAGACTCCTACCCTCAGTGCCATGGCTCATAACTCTCAACCTCTCTAAAAGCCCCAGTCTCTCTAACAGCACATGAATCTCCCTACTTTCCACTGCTATCCCCCTTGCTTTCTGTATCCCTGTAGCCCCATTTACAGCTCAAGGACTCTTCTCAGAGTTTGTGTTTCCCTCTTGCTCCTGTTCTTTCTCTCCTCAGTCATCTGTGACACTGTTCCCTAATCCTAACCCAAGTCCCTACTACCCAGGCAGTGGCTGACATGTTGCGTGAGAATCGTAGCCTCCAGAGCCTAAACATCGAATCCAACTTCATTAGCAGCACAGGACTCATGGCTGTGCTGAAGGCAGTTCGGGAAAATGCCACACTCACTGAGCTCCGTGTAGACAATCAGGTCAGTATTCCCTTCCCCTGATGCTAGCATTCAGTCTCACTGAGTTTCCACACCGAGGCAGCCACTGAGGCAGCTATCTTTTTTCATCTCGTTTGAATTCTCTTCATTGTCTCCATGAGGGAAGCCAAGTCAGCATCTCTCTTCACCTACTGTGGAGAAACAAGCCTCTTTGACTTCCCAAAGGGATCTGTGGTCTGGGATGGTAAACAGCCCAGAGAGGGTGACTGTCAGCTTTTGCCTGTCCCTCCCCCAGCGCCAGTGGCCGGGTGATGCGGTGGAGATGGAGATGGCCACCGTGCTAGAGCAGTGTCCCTCCATTGTCCGCTTCGGCTACCACTTCACGCAACAGGGTCCACGTGCTCGGGCAGCCCAGGCCATGACCCGAAACAATGAACTACGTGAGTAACTGCAGACACGATGTGTGGGGTGGGCGGGGAAGTGCAGAAATGGGCGGGTCCTCCTGAAAGCAGACCTAAAGACTAACAGCCCAGGGTGCTTCCAAAGAGGTATTCACATGCAAAGTTCAAATCTCAACAGTGATCAGAAAGGAGACAGAAAACTCCACCTAGAGGGAGAAAGAATGCTAGAGATAGGAATACATGTTTAGCGGTATCATCATTTCGTTTGTGGTGTGGTTTGGTTTGTTTTGTTTATGTGGGATGGGCCTGTAAGGTGGCCTAAGATACTACCAATTTATAAGTTTGGCTAAGGGATTGGAAAGGAGAAGAGTCTTTGCAGAAAGCAGGAGCTGGAACCAACACTTAGGGTTAATCTTCCTGCTTTACAGGTCGCCAGCAAAAGAAGAGATAACACTGCATTTCCCTTTGCCAACCAGAGCTGGGAGCACTGGACACTTAAATCCTCATCTGTCCTCCTTTCCTGTAAATAAAAGCCCTTCTGTCCATTTTGCCTGCCTCCTTCCTTGGGCTTTCGGTGGGAATCTTGGCGCTAACCCCCAAGGGTTACTGCCAATTCACCAGGGGATTATTTATACTCTGGGGATCATCAGGCAGGGAAGTTCAGGTTACCAGTAGGAGGTGGGGGAGCTCCCTCCCTTGGTGTTCCCCATAACCTTGCCAATGCCTTTAGACTCTTCTACATTCTCAGGGTACTTAGCCTCAGCCCTGTTTCCAGATGTGGCCAGGTGCCCCCGGTGCCTACCCACAGTCTTCATGTGATTTGAAGGGGAAAGGACTTTAAATGGTAGTGGAGAAGGAGGCAGACAACATGAAGGGCAAAGACCTCTTTTAGACAGTCTTATTAATAGGGCACCGGGCTGATGCAGCTGACGCCTGGCATGGCTTTGGTAGAAGATGGGGGAGGGGTTAGAAGTATGGAGAGCTGTGTACATTGCAGGAAAGCAATAGCCAGAATGAGAATGAACAGATCTGAAATCCTGAGATCCGACAAGAAACCAGACTTCAGGAAAGTTAAGTTCTCAGCACCCCCTGCAGTTTATTTGTGAATGAATGGGAAAAGGCTGTCAGTCCAAGGGGTAATCAGGTGGTTCCTCCTCATCAGAGTCAAACTCAACATTTTCATCTTTTACCCATCGACCTCTTCCATCTGGGATCCATCCAGAGCTGAAAAGATCAGAGAAAATGGCATTGATCAGGAAAGAGGCTCATTAAGAAGTCAGTGGTGAGCTCACACCTGTAATCCCAGCACTTTGGGGGGCTGAGGTGGGTGGCTCACCTGAGGTCAGGAGTTCGACCAGCCTGACCAACATGGTGAAACCCTGTCTCTAGCAAAATAGTTAGTGGTGAGAAAAAAATTGAGAGTCATGTAAGTTGGGTGGCTAAAACAAAATGGAACCAAAGATAAAAAACAAAAATAGAAGTAAAAAAAAAAAAAAAGACTAGGCCGGGTGCGGTGGCTCATGCCTATAATCCCAGCACTTTGGGAGGCTGAGACGGGTGGATCACGAGGTCAAGAGATCGAGACCATCCTGGTCAACATGGTGAAACCCCGTCCCTACTAAAAATACAAAAATTAGCTGGGCATGGTGGTGCGCGCCTGTAATCCCAGCTACTCGGGAGGCTGAGGCAGGAGAATTGCCTGAACCCAGGAGGTGGAGGTTGCAGTGAGCCGAGATCGTGCCATTGCACTCCAGTCTGGGTAACAACAGCGAAACTCCGTCTCAAAAAAAAAAAAAGACCAAAAATAAGAAAAATTAAATTGAATACCTTTGAAAAATAGACGGTCAGAGAGAAAAGAAAATCTGAGGAAACTGATTGGGCACACTCACCTTCGAAGGGTGAGATAATGGTTCAGGGCTCGTCTTCTTGTGGGGCTCACAGGTGCAGGGGCTGAGACAGTTGCTGACTCCTCGGCCTGTGGGCCAGCCCCAGGCTCAGGTTCCCTACTGATCTTCCCACTTTGGAGTTCGACCTCTGAGGGTGGCATAGGGGAAAGGGAGACAGAGGGACCAGGGGCTTCTGGTCTAGGTAGAGAAGAACAGTCTGTAAAAGCAGTAAGGCTGAAAGGGCCAACTCTCCTATGACTCCCAACCGCTTAAAACTGTGCTTCTTAAACTGTATGACTCTATTTCTCAAGATATTAATAAGTTCTGCCTACAAAGGATTTTAGAATCATGAATTTGAGAAAGGCTAGCATAAACATTTTTAGTTTTTTTTTTTTGAGACAGAGTTTTGCTCTTATTGCCCAGGCTGGAGTACAACAGCGCAATCTCAGCTCTTCGCAACCTCCGCCTCCTGGGTTCAAGCAATTCTCCTGCCTCAGCCTCCCAAGTTGCTGGGATTACAGCTATGTGCCACCATGCCCAGCTAATTTTGTATTTTTAATAGAGATGGGGTTTCTCCATTTTGGTCAGGCTGGTCTCAAACTCCTGACCTCATTTTTAAAATATACTTAAAATATACTGTTATTGGGCCGGGTGTGGTGGCTCAAGCCTGTAATCCCAGCACTTTGGGAGGCCGAAGCGGGTGGATCACGAGGTCAAGAGATCGAGACCATCCTGGTCAACATGGTGAAACCCCATCTCTACTAAAAATACAAAAAATTAGTTGGGCATGGTGGTGCGTGCCTGTAATCCCAGCTACTCAGGAGGCTGAGGCAGGAGAATTGCCTGAACCCAGGAAGCGGAGGTTGCGGTGAGCCGAGATCGCGCCATTGCACTCCACCCTGGGTAACAAGAGTGAAACTCCGTCTCAAAAAAAAAAAAAAAAAACTTACTATTCTTCAAGTAGAATTACAAAGTGCCATTTCCCAAACTTTATTTAAAAATCACAAAATTCGGCTGGGCACGGTGGCGCACGCCTGCAATCCCAGCACTTTGGGAAGCTGAGGTGGGCAGATCACAAGGTCAAGAGATTGAGACCATCCTGGTCAAGATGGTGAAACCTTATCTCTACTAAAAATACAGAAAATTAGCCGGGCATGGTGGCAAGCACCTGTAATTCCAGCTACTCCAGAGGCTGAGGCAGGAGAATCACTTGAATCCAGGTGATGGAGGTTGCAGTGAGCCAAGACTATGCCACTGCACTCCAGAGTGAGACTCCATCTCAAAAAAAAAACAAAAACACATCCTCCCTCCCTCTCCCCCTTTCTTTCTTTCTTTCTTTCTTTCTTTCTTTCTTTCTTTCTTTCTTTCTTTCTTTCTTTCTTTCTTTTTCTTTCTTTCTTTCTTTCTCTCTTCTCTTCTCCCTCTCTCTCTCTCTCTCTTTTTTTTCTTTCGAGTGTTACTCTGTCACGCAGGCTGGAGTGCAGTGGCATGATCTCAGCTCACTGCAACCTCCAACTCCTGGGTTCAAGCAATTCTCCTCTCTCACCCTCCCGACAGGTTCAGGCAATTCTCCTGTCTCACCCTCCTGAGTAGTTGGGACTACAGGTGCCCACCACCATGCCTGGCTAATTTTCTGTATTTTTAGTAGAGACAGGGTTTCATCATGTTAGCCAGGATGGTCTCGATCTCCTGACCTTGTGATCTACCCGCCTCAGCCTCCCAAAGTGCTGGGATTACAGGCAAGAGCCACCACACCCAGCCCCCACCATTTTTTTTTTTTAAGACGGAGTCTCACTCTGTCACCCAGGCTGGAGTGAAGTGGCATGATCTCGGCTCACTGCAACCTCTGCCTCCCAGGTTCAAGCGATTCTCCTGTCTCAGCCTCCCGAGTAGCTGGGGATTACAGGCACACGTCACACACCCAGCTAATTTTTTATATTTTTGGTAGAGATGGGGTTTCACCATGTTGGCCAGTCTGGTCTTGAACTCCTGACCTCAAGTGATCCACCTGCCTCGGCCTCCCAAAGTGCTGGGATAACAGGCATGAGCCACTGTGCCTGGCCAAAATTCTCCTTTTCTTGAAACACTAAGTAACATCTCCGGAATACCAGTGTTCCTTAGAATACACATTGGAGAACTTTTTTTTTTGAGACGGAGTTTAGCTCTTGTTACCCAGGCTGGAGTGCAATGGCGCGATCTCGGCTCACCGCAACCTCCGCCTCCTGGGTTCAGGCAATTCTCCTGCCTCAGCCTCCTGAGTAGCTGGGATTACAGGCACACGCCACCATGCCCAGCTAACTTTTTGTATTTTTAGTAGAGACCGGGTTTCACCATGTTGACCATGATGGTCTCGATCTCTTGACCTCATGATCCACCCGCCTCGGCCTCCCAAAGTGCTGGGATTACAGGCTTGAGCCACGCGCCTGGCCTCACATTGGAGAACTTTTAGAGCCATCTTTCTCCTTCTGAGCCTTCCGACCTCTGGCTTTCCCCTCCCATACCTGTACTTCCGGCGGCAGCAACTGTTATAGTCGGGGGCTCTGTGCAGAGCACTCTGGGTGATAAGTCGTGTCTGGGTTAGCAGAGGAGCCTGATAAGGAGATGGGAGACAGAGTCAGAGGCTTCAGCCCTCTTCCCTTCCAGCCTGGTGTGTGCAGCAGGGTCTTGACTAGAATACACTCTCCATTCTGATTACCTCAGCTTTGGTTTCTTCCCTTCTCAATTCATTCTGATGTCTTGGATTCTGCTTCCTCTCCTTTCCTGGCTGCTTCTTGCCATAGAAAAGCTGCAAGCCTGAGGAGAAAGGGAAACAAGACTAAAAGCATAGCACCAAGAGCGGTGTGCAGAAATTTCGAGGGTTTATTCCCCATACCCTGTCTTTCCCCAAACTTACTGGATAGATGTTTCTTGCCTGCTCGGTGGGCAGTCAGCATAGCCAGGGTGTCCAGTACTGGTCGATGGGGGCAGATGGCACAAGCAAAACTGAGCAGGGGGAGAGAAGAGGATAATTGGTCCAGGGGAAGAGGGTGGGGCCAGTCCCTACAGTAAGTCCCACCCTGTCCTAGCAGTCCTTTCCAAAGCCCAACTCCAGGTCATCCAATCCCCACTTCTTCCGATCCTCACTTCCGGCCAAGGAATCCTAGATACTCCTGCTGTCCTGATTAATAACAAAAGTTTGGGGCCGGGCGCCGTGGCTCATGCTTATAATCCCAGCCCTTTGGGAGGCCGAGGCGGGTGGATCACGAGGTCAAGAGTTCGAGACCATCCTGGTCAACATGGTGAAACCCCGTCTCTACTAAAAATACAAAAAAATTAGCTGGGCATGGTGGCACGTGCCTGTAATCCCAGCTACTCAGGAGGCTGAGGCAGGAGAATTGGCTGAACCCAGGAGGCGGAGGTTGCGGTGAGCCGAGATTGCGCCATTGCACTCCAGCCTGGGTAACAAGAGCGAAACTCCGTCTCAAAAGAAAAAAAAAATTAGCTGGGCATGATGGTGCGTGCCTGTAGTCCCAGCTACTCGGGAGGCTGAGGCAGGAGAATTGCTTGAACCCAGAAGGCGGAGGTTGCGGTGAGCCGAGTTCGTGCCATTGCACTCCAGTCTGGGTAACAACAGCGAAACTCCGTCTCAATCAATCAATCAATCAATCAATAAAGTTTGTTGAAGCCGGGCATGGTCGCGCCCGCCTGTAATCCCAGCTACTCGCGACGCTGAGGAAGCAAGATCACTTGAGCCCTAGAGTTTGAGGACAGCCTGGGCAACACAGAGAGACCTCTATCTTTTGTTTGTTGAGCCTCTAACCATAGAACCCTCAGGCTTGGGCCACTCCTCGCTCTTACCGTCCATCCCGAAGCATCAGCGCCTCATCCTCTGGGATGTAACTGGCTAGCAGATCCCCGACTCTTCTTTTCTGCAGGGAGAAGGGGAAAAAATCCGGACGGCATCAGCAGATAGGAGAAACGGATGGAAGTGAAATGAGAGAAATGAGGAGTCAAATGGAATAAGGACCCTGGGGAGAATAGTGATCATAGACCGAAAAAGGTGTCACTACCCAGCTCTAAGTCGCCTCTTTCTCTCCCGCACCCCCGAGCTGTTGCCAGTGCAACAAAACAAAGCTCCTTCCCAACCTTCAGAGAGCGACTGAAGCTGCCCTGGATCCTCTCTGCTCACGCTTACTTTGAGAACATTGAGTTGACTCCAATCGTCTCCTTCCCTCTTGAAAGACATCACGACTGTGAGTCCCAGAAATGATAAATTCTCTTGTTCCGGTTTCTCAACTCCTCCAGGCCACCGTAGCAAGAGTGGGACAACTCTTTCTCTGTTTTCAGTCTCTTCCTGTCGGCCTCCGTACTTCCGGGGATGCGCTTCCACACAGGCTTTGCGCGTCCGGAAATCTACTCGCTGGTGCACGGAGGGAACTGCATTTCCTATGGTGCCCTGCGACACTGCAGACGCCGAGCCTTTTGGGAAATGAAGTCTTTTCTCAAAGAGCTTGCCGCTCTGCTGGATCCAGGCCCTCGCATCCTGGCGGATCTGCGGCATTTGGAGGGACAAGAAGCTAGATGTGGAGCCGAAATGTGAGGGTGTGACCTCTCTGATGAGTGGAAGGTGTACTACAGACTCTCGCAATCTTCGCGCTCTTCATCTGCGGCGACAGTTCACCTGGGGTGGGCTGATTTGTTTCTGACCCTAGCGGACGAACCCCGGGACCGGGCAGACCCGGGATGCGAGAGCCCCCAGAGGCCAGGCTACCGGACTTGGGGGCAAACTGAGGAAAGACTGTTGAGGATTATTTCTAGAGGTCAAAGGTCAGAGGTCAATGTAGCGAGGAGTTGTGGGGGGTTCACAGTCGGTGGGGTGCTTAGGGGAGAGATTCAGGGAGGGACTGAATACTCAAGGGACAGATTTGTGGATAACAAGCTTGGAGAGAGGAGAAACCGGGAGGGGGCAGGTGGCGTAGTGCCGGGGAGGCGGGGACACAGGGGAAGAGAGAAGGGGAAAGGAATCCCTTGAATATCCATTCCCAGACTTAAGGCCTGTCACCCTTAGTCTCGGCCGGGCCTTCCCCAGTTGCAACCCTACCTGTCGTTAGGGTGAAGAGATGGCTTCCCCGTCTAGACAGCCCCCCCCAGGGGGGTCAGGACTTCTTCAAGGGAGCCGGGCTCGTTCATATGGAAGCCTCGTGCAATCGGCCTGCTCCCCAGTGAGGGAGAGACGCCTGGAGCATCACTTGGAGCCTGGAGACACCCTGGCTGGACTAGCACTCAAATATGGGGTGACGGTGAGTTTTCCAGGATTGGGGTGCAGACAACAGTCAGGAGGGATTTAGTCCTGAGAAGAATGTAGTGGCCTTTCTAGGTAAACTCCTCTGAAAAGTTCCTAAAGTGTTACACCTGTTCTGCCTTTATCTTTGTTTTCCCATCACAGTGTTGCACTGCCGGGTTGGGACAAGTCCTGTCCTACTATTCCAATGGAGAGGAACAGCTCCAATTTTACTATGCCAGACACTGTGCTGGGGGCTTCACATACATTAGCTCATGTCACCCTCACACCCTATCAAGTACATTTATTGTTTCCTTTTGGCAGATGAAGAAACTGAGACTTGGATTGGTTAACCAGTTTGACTAAGGTCAAATAATGAGTGTCAGATTTGGGATTCAAACAGGTCTATCTGACGCTATTAACCACACAGAAACATTTTCTTTTCATTTCTTTTTTTTTTTTGAGGCGGAGTTTCGCTCTGTTGTCCAGGCTGGAGTGCAATGGCGGATCTTGGCTCACTGCAATCTCTGCCTCCCAGGTTCAATAATTCTCAGCCTCAGCCTCCCGAGAAGCTGGGATTACATTACAGGTGCCTGCTGCCACACCTGGCTAATTTTTGTATTTTTAGTAGAGTCACGGTTTCACCATGTTGGCCAGGCTGGTCTTGAACTCCTGACTTCATGATCCACCCGCCTCAGCCTCCCAAAGTGCTGGGATTACAGGCCACACAGAAAATTTTACACTGAGAGTGATTAAACATTCATAGCAAATAATGGAGAGCTGATTTTTAGTTCTCAGTTCCTGAAGTGCCTACCTCTCCTTGCTCTTGGTTCCTCCTCTGCCTCCTTTCCAGTAAGGCCGCTTCCTTGGTGCAAAACAGGTACTCTCTACACCAAGTGTATCTGGCATGGGGGAAATTTGATAGATGTAAAAATGTACATCATTGAAGTTGATGAGGTTACTTTCCCTACCCCTCCCCTGTTTTCTTGTTCCATCTCACACAAACAAATGTTGAATTTAGCCAACATTTGTATGCTTGCTGTATTTAAAGCACTGTGATAACTTTCCTGGGAGATAGAAACTTAAATAAACTATATGGTTGCTGTCCCCTGTAATTTATGACCTAAAGAGAAATGAGCAGGGACACAAATAATGATTACAAGTGACAGAATGTGGTGAGTTTGTAAAGATACGAACAAAGAATAGGAGGTAGGGCGCGGTGGCTCACACCTGTAATCCCAGCACTTTGGGAGGCTGAGGCGGGAGGATCAGGAGATTGAGACCATCCTGGCCAACATGGTGAAACCCCGTCTTTAAAAAAAATATATTAAAAAACAAAAAAACAAAGAATAGGGGCTGGGCATGGTGGCTCACCCATATAATTCCAGCACTTTGGGAGTACAAGACCAGTCTGGCCAACATGGTGAAACCCTGTCTCAACTAAAAATACAAAAATTAGCGGGGTGTAGTGGTGCTCGCCTATAATCCCAGCTAGAATTGCTTGAACCCGGGAGGTGGAGGTTGCAATGAGCTAAGATCACATCACTACATTCCAGCATTCCAGCCTGGGCAACAGAGCAAGACTCTGTTTGAAAAAAAAGATTAAACAATCAGAAAAGATTATTTTAGTTGGAAAGGAGCTGGGGTGGGCAAGGCATGGTGGCTCATGCGTGTAATCCCAGCACTTTGCGAGGCTGAGGTGGGTGGATCGCTTGAGCTCAGGAGTACAGGATCAGCCTGGGCAACATGGTGAAACTCCATCTCTGCAAAAAAAATGCAAAAATTAGCCTAGAGTGGTGGCATACACCTGTAATCCCAGGTATTGGGGAGGCTGAAGCAGGGGATCAGTTGAGCCCAGGAGGCAGAGGTTGCAGTGAGCTGAGGTGATGCCACTGTACTCCAGCCTGGGTGACAGAAAGAAAAGAAAAAAGAAAAGAGTAGAAGAGAAGAGAGAAAAGAAAAGAGAGAGAGAGAAAGAAAGAGAAAGAAAGGGAAAGGAAGGAAGGAAAAGAAAGAAGGAAAGAAAGAAAAGAACTAATGTACTATATCTGTAGTTTCTATATTTCATTATCTCTAATTATTATAATTAGATAATTATAATTAATATTTTTTAATAAAGCATTATTGAGCCCCTGCTATGTGTCAAGGTCTGTAGGATGCTAACGACTGCCTGGGGATAGAGACAGCAAGTCACAATCTTTGCCCTTAAAGGACTCATGGGGTTTAGGCAGAGCAGATATTTAAAGAGGTGAATACTAGAGTAGTGTATGTATTATAGCGATATTTACCTATGCATTGGGAGCCCAGAAGAAGGTAGCACAAAGGGAGTGGTAGTTGATGAATAGACATTTTCCAAGCAGAGAATGGGATAGTGGTGGGCAGGGGGTGGAACGGGGCCATTTCAGGCAGAAGTAACAGCGTGAATAAAGTGTGAAAAAGATCATGGAATGTTCAAAGAAAAATTAAGAATTCAGGATAGCAAAATGTAGAGGTGGCAGAGGGATATTAATCTAGATATTTCCTTTGAGAGCCGGATTAAGAAAGCCCTTGAATGCTAATTTGGTTTTTATATTTTAGCCAATGAGGAGGCATAGGGGATTTATAAGCAAGGTAGTGGGTTACTCAGATTTATTTTTTCAGAAAAATAGATGCCAAGAGAAGGGTGAGTAGAATTAGATTGAGGGGCCGGGCGCAGCGGCTCATGCTTGTAACCGCAGCACTTTGGGAGGCCAAGGCAGGCAAATCACTTGAGGTCAGGAGTTCAAGACCAGCCTGACCAACATGGAAAAACCCATCTCTACTAAAAAATACAAAATTAGCTGGGCAGTCCCAGCTACTCGGGAGGCTGAGGCAGGCAAATTGCCTGAACCTGGGAGGTGGAGGTTGCGGTGAGAGCCAAGATCGCACCACTGCACTCCAGCCTGAGCAACAAGAGCGAAGCTCCATCTTAAAAAAAAAAAAAAGAAGAAGATAGCCAGGCAAGGTGGCATGCACCTGTAATCACAGCTACTCAGGAGGCTGAGGCAGGGGAATTGCTTGAACCCAGGAGGCAGAGGTTGCAGTGAGCTGAGATCACACCATTGCACTCCAGTCTGGGCAACAGAGTGAAACTCCGTCTCAAAAAAATAAAGAAGAAATAGAGCAAGAAAGGCCAGGTAAACGGTTGCAGTAACTTCAGCTGAGAAGTACTGAGGTCTATTTTAAATGTTCGGCAGTAGACCTGAGGATAAGACCAGATGTGAGAGATTTTTGAAGCAGTTTTGTCGACCACTTGATAAAGTGATGGAAGAAAAGTATTAGTTAAGGATGACACTGATATTTCTACCTTGGGAGGCCAGGCAGATAGATGGTGAGGCCAGTCAGTGTGTCCAGTGATGAATAAATAGGTCAAAATAAATATTTATTAATGAGGCTGGGTGCGGTTGCTCACGCCTGTAATCCTAGCACTTTGGGAGGCTGCAGGTGGATCACCTGAGATCAGGAGTTTGAGCCTGGCCAACATGGCAAGACCCCGTTTCTACAAAAAAATGCAACAGTTACCTGGGCATGGTGGCTCACGCCTGTAATCCCAACTACTTGGGAGGCTGAGGAAGGAAATCACTTGACCCAGGAGGTAGAGGTTGCAGTGAGCCGTCCAGCCTGTGGGACAGGAGCGTTAATGAAATTGTTAATAGTATAGTGTGGGCTGGGCGTGGTGGCTCATACCTGTAATCCCAGCATTTTGGGAGGCCAAGGTGGGTGGATTACCGGAGGTCACAGGAGTTCGAGACCAGCCTGACTAACATAGTGAAACCCCATCTCTAAAAATACAAAATTAGGCGGGTGTGGTGGCACATGCCTATAATCTAGCTACTTGGGAGACTGAGGCAGGAGAATTGCTTGAACCCGGGAGGCGGAGGTTGCAGAGAGCTGAGATCTCCATTGCACTCCAGCCTGGGCAACAAGAGTAAAACTCCATCTCAAAAAAAAATAGTATAGTGTGAAAAGCATTCCCAGAAGCAGTGGACTGACATTCTAGCTGTGTCATTAACTTGCTGGATAATTTTAGGCAAGTAGTTTAACCTCTCTGAGCCTTAGTTCCCTCATTTTATTTATTTATTTATAGAAATGGGATCTCACTATGTTGTTCAGGCTGGACTCTAATTCCTGGGCTCAAGCAATCCTCCCGCCTCAGCCTCCAGAGTAGCTGGGATTACAGGCATCAGACATTGCACCTAGCTTGCACAATAATTTTTTTTTTGAGGCGGAGTCTCGCTCTGTTGCCCAGGCTGGAATACAGTGGCATGATCTCAGCTCACCACAACCTCTGCCTTCTGGGTTCAAACGATTCTCCTACCGCAGACTCCCAAGTAGCTGGGACTACAGGCACGCATCACCATGTCCAGCTAATTTTTGTATTTTTAATAGAGATGGGATTTCACTGTGTTGGCCAGGCTGGTCTCTAACTCCTGACCTTGTGATCCACCCGCCTCAGCCTCCCAAAGTGCTGGGATTACAGGCTATCATGCCCAGCCTGCACAATAATTTTTTTAAATGTAAGGGGGCCCTAAGACCAAAAAGTGTGAAAATCACTCATCTATAAAATAGAAGTGACATCAGCCCTTTGTACTTTAGCTTGGTTGTTACGGAATCAAAGACTCTGTACAATCACTTCAAAAAGCTCTAGATGCAATGTAAGATTGATCATTATTACTGTCCTTAATTTCAGTGACTTTTTTTTTAAAGATGGAACAGATTAAACGTGCAAACCGCCTTTATACTAACGACTCCATCTTCCTGAAGAAAACCCTCTACATCCCCATCCTGACAGAGCCCAGAGACCTGTTCAATGGTTTGGATTCTGAGGAGGAGAAAGACGGAGAGGAAGAAGTACACGCAAGTAACGAAGTGTGGCCACACTCAACTGAGAGGACGAAAGAAGAGACAGGAGCAGCACGTGCCAATGGCGACGTCCTCCCCACAGCTGGCCGGGAAGCCCCCACACCCATCCATGACCTCTCTGCCTCTGATTTCCTTAAGAAGCTTGATTCACAGATCAGCCTGTCCAAGAAGGCTGCTGCCCAGAAACTGAAGAAAGGGCAAAGTGGGTGAGTCTTGAATGATTCCTTATAAGTTCCTCCCTAGACTCCCCCATTCTTCCAGTCTTTTTTTTTTTTGAGACGGAGTTTCGCTCTTGTTACCCAAGCTGGAGTGCAATGGCGTGATCTCGGCTCACCGCAACCTCCGCCTCCTGGGTTCAGACAATTCTCCTGCCTCAGCCTCCTGAGTAGCTGGGATTACAGGCACACGCCACCATGCCCAGCTAATTTTTTGTATTTTTAGTAGAGACGGGGTTTCACCGTGTTGACCAGGACGGTCTCGATCTCTTGACCTCGTGATCCACCCGCCTCGGCCTTCCAAAGTGCTGGGATTACAGGCTTGAGCCACCGCGCCCTGCCTTCTTCCAGTCTTACCTAACCACAAGCACAAGAAGTCAGCAGAGTGCCACCAGAGGCAAGGTGACACCGTTTCCCCGTGTGGCCCCGAGACAGCGAGCAGAGGCGATGGCTGCTGGAAGGGGTACAGGCAGTGGGAAACTGGGTTCTGCGTTCTTATTGGAGCAGTTAACTGTTTTTACTGCTCTCATCGTCCATGAAGGAGCATTAGGGTTGGTTAGGATTTATCTAGAGGGTATGGAGACTGTTTTGGAGCACCCAGCTTATGTATGAGGAGACAGCTGCCCATGTACCTCTCACTTGGCCATTCTCAGGCTCTTCCCTTGATCTGTCACTCTTTCCCGCTTTCCTCACCTGCAGGGTACCCGGGGAGGATGCAGGTCCCCACCTGAGCTCCCCTCGGATGCAGCAACGAGCAGTCCTAGGTCCCGTGCCGCTGACCCGTACCTCTCGGACCCGGACGCTACGGGACCAGGAGGATGAAATCTTCAAACTCTGAGGTCCCCAGAACTGACTGAGAGAAGCAAGATGTTGAAGGAGAAACTTCAGGGGGAGAGGAGCCTGAGGTGAGGCTCACAACCAGGGCTTACCGGCCTGCCTCCCTCTACTCCAGCCACCTTCCCCAGCCTCTGTCTGCCAAAAATTCCTTGGCCTGGGGCAGTTTTATTGGCACGATTAGGGAATGGGGACTGGACCTTTCCCAGTTCTTGGGCTGAATCTCGAGTTGAGTCCTTTAGACTCAAATGGTCTTTTTATATCTGTTACCTTTCCTATCCTTTTTACCATTCCCTGGCCTTAGGACAGGGAAGCAGAGACTCCCCCTCAGCTTCTTCCTCCAACTATGTGACATAATTTATTTGGTGCTATACTGAAGTAATATTTATTTGCTATATTTTATGCCTTCCCACTCTGAGCTGAAAAATGGAATCTCTGTAGCCCTGTGGTGAGGAGAACCCGGGAACAGTGAGCCAGTGACAGCTGGTTCTCCACCTTCCCCACCTTGTTAGCCAAACATGTTACTGAGGATGAGGCAATCAGTCAGAATGGATGACTGCTCGCCTTTTCTCCAATGTCAAGGTAATACATTTGGGCTGCGTTTTTTTTTGGTACCCCATTCCTGGTGAGTGGGCTCAGTCTTGACTAATGAATTCCCTGTAGCTGTTTCACAACTCTTGACTCAGAAAAAGCAGCACTGTGGGGACCTGAACTCTCCGTCCTACCAGTTCACCCTTCTGACCTGTTCTGCTAAGCCCGTGGTCGGGGGAACGGGTGGAAGAAGGCTTTCCCTGGGGTTGGAAGAGGAAGCCAGTTGTGGGAGTCTCTGTCCCCGCGCCCAGAGCCCCTCTGTGTGTGCTTCCTCCTCACTGCGTATTTATTTGCGATGTGTAGCACTGATCTATGGTACTGCTGTTTTGTTCGTTTCTTAAACACAAGTAGGTAAGGGAACCTCAGTCATCATGGGAACCTGCCTCAGTCTCCTGTTTGGAAATGATGAGAGGCGGGATAAGTGGTGTTTATATACCTCCTTTCTTCTGCGATGATCATAAGGTGTAAGCAGCTGGAGAGATTAAACACTGAGCCCTGTGCACATTTTAGTAGTTTTATTTCCTCTGTGAGAGTCTGCCTTGCCCAAGCCCCTTCCTCCTCACTCAGCAGCAGCGCCTCTGGCATCTGTCCCGGCTCTGTCTCTAAGGCCACCTTCCCCTCTTCTGTCTTTAGTGTCCCCAAAGGGGTTATCTGGCCTGTGCCTCCTTTCCTTGGTTCACATGGGAGGGGGCTTCCCTGTTTCAGAAGTCCCTTATGGGAGAAAGAGAGATCCAAGTTTCACTTCACCTTTTTCAGGCAGTTCTGTTTCCTGTCCTGGGGCTGGAGTGGGAGAGAGGCCTCACCCCTCCGCCTTTCTCCTTCTCCGCCTGCAGTTTGGGGGCGGGCTGGCCTCCGAGTCAGAAGCGCTCTGGGGAAGGAATGAAACCCGAAGACTGAAAAGCGTTAGTACCGGAGGAGCAGGTTAGGAAGCCCATTCTCTGTGTTCTCAGTCAGCCATTTGCCCCGGTGGAATGCACTGGGTTCGGGGCTCTCAGAGCTTCCCCTCATCTAGCATCTTCCTCAGCCCATCACAGATCTTGCCAAGGTGCTGGGTGAAGTCAGGCCCATACAGGGCCGTGAGCAGGCCGGGGTCAGAGAAGTGATCGAACACGTGGCGTATGCGGCCGTGTGACTTGGGTGTGAGGTGGTGCTCCACTAACTCCAGCAGTACGTCCCGGCACTCGATCAGCAGGCCAGCCAGCACAGCAGCCTCGAAGGTGAAGTCCACCTCGCCAAAGCTAAGGGCCGTCATGGCACCCTGCCGCAGCTTCTGGCGGAAGCGCGTAGCCAGGGCCAGCTCACTGGGGCCAAAGGAGCCATTGCGGTGCAGCACAGCCACCTTGACAGCCACCTTGATCAGGTCCTTGATAACGCGCTGGGCCTGGGGCCGGCTGTGCGTGTACTCCTTGGACACACGGTACAGCTCATCTAGCACCTCACTGCTTGTCTCGTCTATGAACAGATGAGCCACAGACCGACCCGCCATCTTACTCAGTAGCTTCTTCTCTGCTTGCAGTGCCAGACTCTTTGAGCTGAAGGACTCCATGGGTCCTGGAGAGCGGGGTGTGTGGTCAGTCACTAGAAGAAAGGTCACAGGCTTCCTTAGAAAGAGAGAAAGGTCTTTTCCCTTTTCTGTTGCTTCTTTAGTTTCCATGTCATCATCTCTGTTTGGCATCCTCCCCGCTGCCCCCCGGGACCCCTTGGTCCTCCATGCCTTGCTCCTGCTCTTTTCTCTTAGTGCTGTAGGAAATCTTGACTCCAGAACAGCCCAGGGGAGTGGCGATAGCTGGAGGAATGTGGGCACACTGGAGGCTAGCCCAGCACAAGTTACATCTCAAGGGGAAGTGCGTTGTTGCTGCTGCAGTGAAAACAGGTTTTTTTTTGTTTTGTTTTGTTTTTTTTGTGATGGAGTCTTGCTCTGTAACCAGGCTGGAGAGCAGTGGCACAATCTCGGCTCACTGCAACCCCCCACTCCCAGGTTCGAGCAATTCCCCTGCCTCTGCCTCCCAAGTAGCTGGGACTACGGGTACGCACCACCACACCTGGCTAATTTTTTTTTTTCTAAGATGGGGTTTCACCATGATGGCCAGGCTGGTCTTGAACTCCTGACCTCAGGTGATCCACTTCGGCCTCCCAAAGTGCTAGGATTACAGGCGTGAGCCACCACGCCCAGCATTTTTTTCTTTTTAATTTTAATAGAGATGGGGTTTCACCATGTTGGCCAGGATGGTCTCAAACTCCTAACCTCATGATCTGCCCACCTTGGCCTCCCAGAGTGCTGGGATTCCTGGTGTGAGCCACCACACCTGGCCACCTGACAGAATTCTTACAGCTACCGTTTTTGGACACTGACTCTGTGCCGTATGTCTGTGTAGTATAGATATTACCATCCTTGTTTTACAGCTGAGCAAACAGACTCACATTAAATAATTTACCCAAGTTCAAATGCAACTCATGTTTTGGCCCCCAAGCCAACTGGCAGCCAGTGTCCTGACCTGCCTTGAAAGAAGTAAGAAGCATAAGCACCCCAGGAATCCCAATAAGAATAACAAGTACCATTTACTGAGAACCTACTATGTGCCAAGTGCTTTATGTCAATCATCTCAGTCTGCCCAACCCTCTCTAAGGTTAAGGAAGGTATCCCCATTTTGCAATGAGAAAACTGAAGCTCAGAGAAATTTAGCAGTTTGGCTAAAGTCACTAGTAAATGATAAAGATGGGCTTCAAACCGAATAATCCAGAGAAACCGCCTTCCCTGGAATGCTCCCAGTGTGGTGAAAGGACGCTGAGGCAGCACGAGAAACAAGCACCTCAAGGCAGGCAGTCCTGAGAGTCTGAGCCTTCTGCTGCACTGAACTCAGGGCCCTCTCGGCGGTATATCAGCTCCATGTGTCCAGGGTTCTCTCCCCATGGTCTTCGCCTGTGGTTCTGGTTGTTTTGCTTCTTACTTCCCCCTCCCCTGCTCTGCAGGATGTGGCTGTGACCGCAGTGAGGAGCAGCCTCACCCTCTCCCCCAAACCAAAATGGGAGTCTGAAGAGGCAGGGGCGGTGGGACTGAGTGGGTTTCTTCCCCAGCTGAATCCTTCCAGTGGAAACCTGAACCTTGCTTTGCTCCCAGCTCGCCTTGGGGCTTTCTGGACCACACTCCCAAGCCGGAAGGAGATTGCTCCATGTGAGCCTTCCTTCCTCCTTGGCCTTCCTGTTACCCAGGTCTCCATTCCCCCACTGCCATCTTATATCTGGTCTGCTGTCCTCTCCCTCTCTACCTGCTTCAGTCTCCCTTTTTCTCTGGTCTCGGTCTTCCCTATGATCCTCTGTCCTGGCCATGCTCTCCCTCTGGCCCTTATCTGTCTATCTCCACATCTCCTGAGATTTCCTTGCATTTCTCACACGCCCATATGCACCTGCATCCCTCAGCCCTGCCCCCCACCCCATCCCATCCCAAACCAGGTCTTTCTGAGGCTGCCTTGGCCCCAGAAAAACTAAGCTAGGCTCTACAAAGGACCCAAGAATGGTACCAGCGAGAGATTCGCAATATGAAAATCTAAGACTGAAAGAGCTGGAGACTCCTTGGCCACCATTTCCCCCAAAGCCTACCCTTCTGTAACTGCCAGTTCCTCACCTGCTGTGCTGGATGCCAGTCTTGCCTTGGATGTTCCCGGAAAGCTGACAGAATGGAGAAGCTTCACTTAGTGTGAGAGCCCTATGGCTTGGCCCCACCCCTTGAGCCCCGCCTACCTACTCTCTGCTCAACCTCCGGTTCATCGCTACTGTCACCAAAAAGGCCTATGGCCCAAGAGCAACCTAGAAATCAGACAAAGATAAAAAAGAGTGGAATTCTGTGCAAAGCAAAATTCCTTGAGTTGTTGAAGCGGGGAAAGGGATTTGCAACCTCCACTCTCAAATTGCTTCTTTCTTTTTTTGCTGCCCAGTTTCTGGAGATCCTGTCCTTATATGTTTCTACAGTACTGGGAAGGATGTAAAGCCCAGATTTCTGGGGTAGGGAGTCAGGGAGAAAAGTTCTGAAGATTGAAAGGTGGTGCTGAAGGGAAAGTATTTAATATATTATTCCAGTGCCTGGCAGGTAAGGGCACAGACTGCCACAACCCTTAATACTGAAGGGAGAAAGGTGTGGGGACCAGGGCTGCTGAACCACAGGTGACCAGCAGGTGTCAGCACAGCACTGAATCACTAGCCTAGTAGCCTAGAGGAACAAGCCTACTGAGGTTTCTTTCTTTTAGAGGGAGTCTCGCATGGTTGCCCAGGCTATAGAGTGCAATGGCGCGATCTTGGCTCACTGCAACTTCTGCCTCGCGGGTTCAAGCAATTCTCCTGTCCCAGCCTCCTGAATAGCTGGGACTAGAGGCACACACCACCACACTCGGCTGAGTTTTTGTATTTTAGTAGAGACAGGGTTTCACTGTATAGCCCAGGCTGGTCTTGAACTCCTGAGCTCAGGTAATCCACCTGCCTCAGCCACCCAAAGTGCTAGCATTACAGGTGTGAGCCACCGCGCCCAGCCTTTTTTTTTTTTTTTTTTTTTTTAGATGGAGTTTTGCTCTTGTCGCCCAGGCTAGAGTGCAATGGCATGATCTTGGCTCACTGCAACCTCCGCCTCTTGGGTTCAAGCGATTCTCCTGCCTCAGCCTCCCAAATAGCTACAATTACAAGTGGTACCACCATGCGCGGCTAAATTTTGTATTTTTGGTAGGGACGGGGTTTCACCATGTTGGCCAGGCTGGTCTTGAACTCCTGACCTCCGGTGATCCACCCACCTCGGCCTCCCAGAGTGCTGGGATTACAGGTGTGAGCCACCTCACCTGGTAGGGCCTATTGAGCTTTGTAGTTGCTAAAGGGATGCAAAAATGAGCGGAAGCCACAGTTGGGTTTTGCTTGTTTGTTGTTTTGTTTTTGGGATAGGGTCTCGCTCTGCCACCCAGGCTGCAGTGCAGTGGCATCATCACAGCTGACTGCAGCCTCAACCTCCTGGGCTCAAGCGATCTTCCTACCTCAGCCCCCAAGTAGCTGGGACCAGAGGCGCACAACACCAAGCCTTTCTTTTTTTTCTTTCTTTTTTTTTTGTAGAGAGGAGGGTCTCACTATTTTGCCCAGGCTGAACTTCTGCTCAAGCAATACTCCCATGTTGGCCTCCCGAAGTGTGGGGATTACAGGCGTGAGCCACCCGAACTGATCCTGGAAGTCATAGTTGTTGAATGAGACAAAAATACTTGCCATCAAGAAACTTACAGGGAATCTGGCCAGGGAGAGAAGTTTAAGTATAAATAACAGTAATACCAGTCGAACAATGCCATTAACTTTAATAGAGATTTAAAGAATTATGAGAGTAAAGAAGCTTAATTATGATAGGGCTGAAGAGGTAGACTTGGAAAGATAAATTCAACGACTTAGTCGCCAGAGATGGGGAAGAAGTCTCAGATGATGGGGACAGCATAAGCACATACAGGAAAAAAACATAATACAGGACATTCTCAGGAAGTGGTGATTTATGTCTGGAGTGTAGGTTGTTTGAGAGATAAGTGAAGAAGGAAAAAGCGCAGATCACGGCAAGCTTTAAAAAAGTTGCTCCATGAAAAACAATCTTCACTGATTGGGGGGAGAAGGGTTGCTCCGGGCTGGGCTCAGTGGCTCACACCTGTAAATCCCAGCACTTTGGGAGGCTGAGGCAGGTGGATCTTCTGAGGTTGGGAGTTTAAGACCAGCCTGACCAACATGGAGAAACCCCATCTCTACGAAAAATACAAAATTAGCAGGGTGTGGTGGTGTATGCCTGTAATCCCAGTGACTCGGGAGGCTGAGGCAGGAGAATCGCTTGAACCCGGGAGGCAGAGATTGCAGTGAGCCGAGATCACGTCATTGCACTGCAGCCTGGACAACAAGCAAAACTGTGTCTCAAAAAAAAAAAAAAAAAGGTGCCCCAGAGTACAGACTTTTCCTGTAAGTAGTCAGGAGACACTTAAGGTATTCGATCAAGGAAATGAAATAATTAGCTCAGTGGGAACGAGTTAGATGTTCAATAAAATTCGGCTGAGAAAAGAGTTGTGTGGTTTTTTTTTTTTTAGAGATGAGGTTTCACCTTGTTGGCCAGGCTGGTCTTGAACCCCTGACCTCAAGTGATCTGCCCGCCTCAGCCTCCCAAAGTGCTGGGATTACAGTCTTGAGCCACCATGCCTGGACGAGAAGAGTTTTTATTTTTAGAGACAGGGCTGGGATTTGAAGATTTTACAAGAAAGTTCTAGAAGAAGGGAAAGGAGTAGAAAGTTGATCGGTTGTGAAAAGTTGAAGGGTCAATTGAAATTCAGAAGTAGCATACCACTGACATAACCGGAATCACTGAAGGGTCAATTGAAATTCAGAAGTGGCACACCACCGACATAACTGGAATCACTGGTTCTTTGGAGATGGCGGCTGGGTTGTGGTTCCTTTCTTATTCCCACCTTTCTCTTCATCACTCCACTGTCCAGAGCTGAGGGCCCTTGATACAACTTGGATTTGAAAATGTAACCAACTCTTTTGAAGAGTTCGATGGTAAAGAGAAAGGCTAAGGGGATGGAGAGCTGGATTAAGAGAGGGACTTTTTTTTCTTTTTTTGAGGCAGAGTCTCACTCTATTGCCCAAGCTGAAATGTGGTGGTGTGATCTCAGCTCACTGCAATCTCCACCTCCGGGTTCAAATGATCTTCCCATCTCAGCCTCCAGAGGAGCTGGGAGTACAGGCATGCGCCACTAATTTTTGTAATTTTTGTAGATTCAGGTTTTGCCATGTTGCTCAAGCTGGTCTCAAACTCGTGACCTCAAGTGATCTGCCCTCCTTGGCCTCCCAAAGTGCTGGGATTACAGGCGTGAGCCACTGTGCTCAGCCTAAGAGAGGGACTATTTTTAGCTTTCACTTGTGTACATTTCTAGGCTGAAAGAAAGGAACCAGTGGAGAGCAAGGCTTAGAAAATGTCAGCAGGGTGCAGTGGCTCACACCTATAATCCCAACACTTTGGGAGGCTGAGGCAGGTGGATGCTTGAAGTCAGGAGTTCGAGACCAACCTGGCCAACATGGTGAAACCCTATCTCTACTAAAAATACAAAAAATTAGCTGCGCATGGTGGTGTACGCCTGTAGTCCCAGCTACTCAGGAGGCTGAGGCAGAATTGTTTCAACCTGGGAGGCGGAAGTTACGGTGAGCCAAGATTGAGCCACTGCACTCCAGCCTGGGCAGCAGAGTAAGACTCCATCTCAAAAATAAAAATAAAAATATAATAAAATGCAAAAGAGAGGGAATGGTTATAAAGGTGTAGGGGCAGATAGAAAAGAATGGACGGAGTTCAGGGGAGGGAAGTAGGAGGTGAAAAGGAAGCTAGCATTGGTTGGGTGCATTCTGCTAGATGTTTATAAATATCTCAATCCTCACAATATTCTTATGAAATAAATGTCACTATATCCTTTTTGCTGGTGGGAAAAAAACCATGAGGTGTAAAGAGGTTAAATAACCTGTCCCCAGGTTACAGAGCTAGCAAGCGCCAGAATGAGGACCTCACGGTTCTCAAGCGTGTTTTATCTGGTGATTAGTACCTCACAAGGTACTCACAAGGTCATGAGGTACTAATGTCAGCCCCATAGTGAATATGGCAGCATTTTACTTCTGTGTGGTCTATCAACCTGAACACACACTCTGGGGACAAGAATAGGTAGCACTGGCTGGGCGCGGTGGCTCAAGTCTGTAATCCCAGCACTTTGGGAGGCTGAGGCGGGTGGATCACGAGGTCAAGAGATCGAGACCATCATGGTCAACATGGTGAAACCCCGCCTCTACTAAAAATACAAAAAATTCGCTGGGCATGGTGGCGTGCGCCTGTAGTCCCAGCTACTCAGAAGGCTGAGGCAGGAGAATTGCCTGAACCCAGGAGGCGGAGGTTGCGGTGAGCCGAGATCGCGCCATTGCACTCCAGCCTGGGTAACAAGAGCGAAACTCTGTCTCAAAAAAAAAAAAAAGAATAGGTAGCACTACCAAAATCACAGGAAAAACAAAAGGCTTTTTTGTAAGAATGTATAATCTAGTTGAAAAACAAGAAAAAAGACACTAAAAATACAAGAAGATGCAAATACAGTAATAACTTCTGAATTCAGAATTCTGCTGCTAGTCTTTACCTGTTTTCCTCTCCAGCTTCAAACTTTTTTCTTTTTCTTTGTTTTTTGAGACAGAGTCTTGCTCTGTTCCTGTCACCCAGGCTAGAGTGCAGTGGCATGATCTTGGCTCGCTGCAATCTCTGTCTCCCAGGTTCAAGTGATTCTTCTGCCTCAGCCGGGATTAAATCAGCACCCACTATCAAGCCTGGCTAATTTTTGAATTTTTAGTAGAGACAGGGTTTCACCATGCTGTCCAGGCTGGTCTCAAACTCCTGGTCTCAAGCTCTCTGCTCATCTTAGCTCCCAAAGTGCTGGGATTACAGGTGTGAGCCAGCTTCAACTCTTGTCTGTGCTTTCTTTCTTTCTTTTTTAGATGGAGCGTCACTCTTGTTGCCCAGGCTGGAGTGCAATGGTGCAATCTTGGCCCTCTGCAACCTCTGCCTCCCGGGTTCAAGCGATTCTCCTGCCTCAGCCTCCTGAGTAGTTGTGATTATAGGCATGTGCCACCAACCATGCCTGGCTAATTTTTTTTTTTTTTTTTTTTGGTACTTTTAGTAGAGATAGGGTTTCTCCATGTTGGTCAGGCTGGTCTTGAATTCCCAATCTCAGGTGATCTGCCCGCCTCGGCCTCCCAAAGTACTGGGATTACAGGCGTGAGTCTGTGCTTTCTTGCACTCTGCTCTAGCCTTCTTGAAGTTAGTGCCTCCAACACTCACTGTGGTTGTAGGGCTCTCTCTTTCTCCTCCTTCTTTCCTCCTTCCACTTCTCACTCTGCTCTAGACCTTCACACTTAAGAAAATTAAATTATGATCATGAACTTTACTGTTTGTCTCTATTTTGTTTAGACACAGGTCTCACTCTGTTGCCCAGGCTGGAGTAGAGTGGCATGATCATAGCTCACTGCAGCCTCCAACTCCTGGGCTCAAGTGATCCTCTCCCCTTAGCCTCCCAAAGTGCTGGGACTACAGGTGTCAGCCATGGCACCCCACCTGTAATTTGTGCTTTTTTTTTTTTGAGACAGAGTTTCGCTCTTGTTACCCAGGCTGCAGTGCAATGGCACAATCTCGGCTCACCGCAACCTCCGCCTCCTGGGTTCAGGCAATTCTCCTGCCTCAGCCTCCCGAGTAGCTGGGATTACAGGCATGTGCCACCATGCCCAGCTAATTTTTTTTTTGTATTTTTAGTAGAGACAACGTTTCACTATGTTGACCAGGATGGTCTCGATCTCTTGACCTTGCGATCCACCCGCCTCGGCCTCCCAAAGTGCTGGGATTACAGGTGTGAGCTACCGCGCCTGGCCTTGTGCTTTTTTTTTTTTTTTGAGACAGAATCTCACTCTGTTGCCCAGGCTAGAGTGCAATGGCTTGATCTTGGCTTACTGGGACCTCTGCCTCCTGGGTTCAAGTGCTTCTTCTGTCTCAGCATCCCAAATACCGAAGTAGCTGGGATTATAGGTGCCCGCCACCCTGCCCAGCTAATTTTTGTATTTTTAGTAAAGATAGGGTTTTACCATGTTGGTCAGGCTGGTCTCAAACTCCTGAGCTCAGGTAATCCACCCAACTTGGCCTCCTAAAGTGCTGGGATTACAGGAGTGAGCCACAGTGCCAGACCATAATTTTTGATTTTATTAACTGTCTACCTGCTGGACTCAGATTATGCTTTGGTGTCTGCACAGTGCTTGGCATATACTGTGCTCAATAAATATGTCTGAAAGAATAAACTCAAAACATATCCAAGAACCAGAATATGAGGGAAAAATGGTAGTAACATAGCAGCCATACGTTATAGTGTTCATTTACTTCACTTATGGGAAACTATTTTATTTTCTCTCTCTCTTTTTTCTGTTGCCCAGGCTGGAGTGCAGTGGTGCGAGCTCGGCTCACTGCAACCTCTCCCTCCCGGGATCAATCGATTCTCTGCCACCATGCCTGGCTAATTTTTTTTTTTTTTTTGAGATGGAGTCTTTTTTTTTTTGAGACAGAGCCTCGCTTTCTTGTCAGGCACCAGGCTGGAGTGCAGTGGCAAAATCTCGGCTCACTGCAACCTCCGCCTCCCGGGTTCAAGCAATTCTCCTGCCTCAGCCTCCCGAGTAGCTGGGACTACAGATGCATGCCACCACACCCAGCTAATTTTTGTATTTTTAGTAGAGACGGGGTTTCACCATGTTGGCCAGGATGGTCTCGATCTCTTGACCTGGTGATCCGCCCACCTCGGGCTCCCAAAGTGCTGGGATTACAGGCTTGAGCCACCGCTCCCGGCCGAGATGGAGCCTTGCTCTGTCGCCAGGCTGGAGTATAGTGGCACAATCTTGGCTCACTGCAACCTCTGCCTCCTGGTTCACACGATTCCCCTGCCTCAGCCTCCCAAGTAGCTGGGACAACAGGCATCTGCCACCACGCCTGGCTAATTTTTTGCTTTTTTAGTAGAGATGGGGTTTCATCATGTTGGCCAGGATGGTCTCAATCTCCTGACCTTGTGATCCTCCCATCTTGGCCTCCCAAAGTGCTGGGATTACAGGCGTGAGCCACCGCATCTGGCCAATATTTGTATTTAAAAAAAAAAAAATTGTATTTTTAGTAGAGAAGGGGTTTCAACATCTTGGTCAGGCTGGTTTTGAACTCTTGACTTTGTAATCCACCCACCTTGGTCTCCCAAAGTGCTGGGATTACATGTGTGAGCTACTGTACCCAGCCAAAAAAAAATTTTTTTTTAGAGACAGCGTCTTGCTATCTTGCCCAGGTTGGAGTACAGTGGCTCAGTCATAGTTCACTGCCACCTCGAACTCCTGGACTCAAGCAGACCTCCTGCCTCAGTCTCCCAAAGAGCTGAGATTACAGGAGTGAGTCACTGTGCACCCTAGCCAAATGATGGTATCCTAAATGTGCAAAACACTTTTGAATTTGCAAAACATTTCACCTACAGTATCTTATTTGATCCTAAGAGGTAGGCAGGAAGGTATTTTGTCCACTTACCGCTGACAGACTCAGACTTAGAGATAAGTGGTTTATCCAAAGCCATACTCCAGAGATGAATCTAGCTACGTCTCAATGGCTCCCAATGGTGCTGTTTCCACTGTGTAATCTACAGGAAATGAATAGCACTTTTTTTAGCAATTTCTACTTTGAAGCAAAATGAAGATGTTTGCACTTAATTGGATAAACTTCAGTTATTTGGAAGAGCATTCAGGATGGAACAGTCCTATGTTTGTTTTAGCTCAGGTTTTGCCATGGTTGGGATCAGTACTCTCACATCCGTTCAGGAAGAGTGAGTTTGGTGTGATTTAAAGCAGTCATGTCAGCCTGACACAGCTGGAGATAGATCACAGCTTTTACTCTTTTTTTGTTTGGGGTTTTTGTTGTTGTTTTTCCTTCTGAGCCATAGCATGTTCGTTTGTTTTTAATCTTGGATACATTTATTTCTTCCTGTACTTACTGTATGTCAGGCATTATGATTAAGTGCTGGGGACAAAAAGATAAAAGACAAGCTTCCTGTCTTTAGACTAAGTGGTAGACATGAAAAGTCCAGATGGAAGTATCCAAAGCGCAACTGTATACATGAGTCTAAAACTCAGGAGAAAGACCTCAGTTAAACACTTAGATTTTTTTTTTTTTTTATGAGACGGAGTTTTGCTCTTGTTATCCAGGCCGGAGCGCAATGACACGATCTCGGCTCACCGCAACCTCTGCCTCCTGGGTTCAGGCAATTCTCCTGCCTCAGCCTCCTGAGTAGCTGGGACTACAGGCATGCGCCACCATGCCCAGCTAATTTTTTGTATTTTCAGTAGAGACGGGGTTTCACCATGTTGACCAGGATGGTCTCAATCTGTTGACCTCGTGATCCACCCGCCTCGGCCTCCCAAAGTGCTGGGATTACAGGCGTGAGCCACTGCGCCCGGCCTACACCTAGATTTTATGGTAAGCAGCATATAAACAGTTTATCGTAACTGTTGGTTTTATGACTATTCTCATTGGTGGATTATCTTGACCAATGGGAATGTGTAGAGCAGAAAAAGGTGGCTAAGGCATTCCCAAGGGAATACCAGCACATAAAGAGAGGTTAGAGATGGCTAAGCAAGGTCATAATAGGCCGGGCGCAGTGACTCACACCTGTAGTCCTATCATTTTGGGAGGACAAGGCGGGCGGATCATGAGGTCAGGAGATCAAGACCATCCTGGCTAACATGGTGAAACGCTGTCTTTACTAAAAATACAAAAAATTAGCCAGGCGTGGTGGCACTTGCCTGTAGTCCCAGCTACTCAAGAGGCTGAGGCAGGAGAATGGCTTGAACCCGGGAGGCAGAGGTTGCTGTGAGCTGAGATCACACCATTGCACTCTAGGCTGGAGACAGAGGGAGACTCCGTCTCAAAAAAAAAAAAAAAAAAAAGCCATATTAATAGAAGTGAAGCTATCCATTCATTAAAAATACATATTTATGGCCAGGCGCAGTGGCTCAAGCCTGTAATCCCAGCACTTTGGGAGGCTGAGGCGGGTGGATCACGAGGTCAAGAGATCGAGACCATCCTGGTCAACATGGTGAAACCCCGTCTCTACTAAAAATACAAAAAATTAGCTGGTCATGGTGGCGCGTGCCTATAATCCCAGCTACTCAGGAGGCTGAGGCAGGAGAATTGCCTAAACCCAGGAGGCGGAGGTTGCGATGAGCCGAGATCGCGCCATTGCACTCCAGCCTGGGTAACAAGAGAGAAACTCTGTCTCAAAAAAAAAATATATATATATATAATATAATATATATATTTTTATATTATTATATATATAATATATAATTTATATATTATTTATATATATTATAAAATATAATAATTTTATATTATTATATATATAATATATAATAATATATTATATTATATATATATATTAAGGCCCTAATCTCTGTCAAGAGAAGGATGGACCTCAGGAGCCAAAAGAAGAAAACATTTCAAGGAAGGAGGGGTTAACAGGGTCAAATGCCACAGAGAGGGCAAAAGGATAAAGACTGAAGAGTTGTTCATTGAATGTGACCAGGTGATCATTGGTGGCACTAATGAGAGCAGTCTCTGTGGACTTATGGGGGCAAAAACTAAAGTGATTGAGAATGAGAGTCATGAAGATGAATATAGCAAGTATAGGTAACTTTAGACACTTAGCTATGAAGGGAAGAGAGAAATTGGGTGATGACTAAGTGGAGACAAGGATCAGGGGAAAGTTTGGAACTTTTTTCATGGGAAACATTTTTAATCATGGGAAAATTACTCGAGCATGTGTATATGCTAAGGGGAAAATATCAGTAGAAAAGGACAGGTTTATGGCTGGGATGATGGCTCACACCTGTAATCCCAGCACTTTGGGAGGCCCAGGTAGGAGGATCACTTGAGCCTAGGAGTTCAAGACCAGCCTGGGCAACACAATGAGCCCCTGTCTCTATTTTTTTTTAAGTTAATACCTTTTGTTGGGCGGGGCGCGGTGGCTCAAGCCTGTAATCCCAGCACTTTGGAAGGCTGAGGTGGGTGGATCACGAGGTCAAGAGATCAAGACCATCCTGGTAAACATGGTGAAACCCCATCTCTACTAAAAATACAAAAAATTAGCTGGGCATGGTGGCGAGTACCTGTAATCCCAGCTACTCAGGAGGCTGAGGCAGGAGAATTGACTGAACCCAGGAGGTGGAGGTTGCGGTGAGCTGAGATCGCTCCATTACACTCCAGCCTGGGTAACAAAAGTGAAACTCCGTCTCAAAAAAAAAAAAATACCTTTTGTTTGCAGGCACTATGCTACAAGGAAAGATACCGTGTTGAGCAAGATAGACAACCAGGTCCTGACTGTATAGGGCTTATCATAACATCATAGGCAAAGCTTGGCCAGGTGATGTGATGATATTCAATGGGATGAGAGGCATGATGATGCAGCTATTATATCTGTAGGGAGCAAAAAGTTGACAGAATTCTCACTTTATTATCTCTCTTTTCTATGAAGATGGAGGATAGTTTTCCTGACATGAACAAGGAAATGGTAAGGAAAAGAACTTGCAAAAAAAAGGTGGAAATTTGAAATAGCTCCTGGGGATTGGAAGAGAATGCTTATCCAGCCCAATCTCTGGGACTGTGTGATTTTCTTCAGAACCCTAAGGGAGAAGAAAGAGAGAGTCTTTTTTTTTTTTTTTTGAAATGGAGTCTCGCTCTGTCACCCAGGCTGGAGTGCAGTGGTGTGATCTCAGCTCACTGCAACCTCCCATCTCCTGGGTTCAAGCAATTCCCTCAGCTGCTGGATTGCAGGTGCCCACCACCAAGCCCAACTAATTTTTTTTGTTTTTTTTTGGTATTTTTAGTAGAGATGGGGTTTTGACACATTGACCAGGCTGGTCACAAATTCCTGACCTCAGGTGATCTGCCCAGCTTTGCCTCCCAAAGTGCTGGGATTACAGGCATGAGCCACCTCTCCCAGACAAAAGAATCATTTTGATTTGTCTTTTGAAATAGCTCTTAGATTCATTCGTTTCTTTCTGTTCCCATCACCCTTATCGGATTGTCCCTCTCCCCTCACCTTTAGGCCTCCCTATTTTCTTGCTAGTCGGTCTCTGTCTTCTTGCTTAAAAAAAAAAAAAGCTCTGGGCGAGGTGATTCCTGCCTGTAATCCCAGCCCTTTGGGAGGCCGAGGCAGGGCGGATCACCTGAGGTTAGGAGTTCAAAACCAGCCTAACACGGAGAAACACCGTCGCTACAAAAAATAAATAAGTTAGCTGGGTGTGATGGTGCATGACTGTACTCCCTGCTACTTGAGAGGCTGAGACAGGAGAATCGCTTGCACCTGGGAGACAGGTTGTAGTGAGCCGAGATCTGGCCATTGCACTCCAGCCTGGGCAATAAGAGCAAAACTCCGTCTCAAAAAAAAAAAGAGAGAGAGGAAGAAGAAAAAGACAAGTTGCACCATTTTTCAATAATTTAAAATGACATCCTGCTCCTGTCAGATGATTTTAACTGGCTCACCCTAGGTGTTTCAGGTCTTCCATAATTTGTCTTCCCCTTTTCCCTTCCCTTGCTCCTAACCTGTGCCTTTCCCCATGTACCAGCCACAAGGAACTTCTTGTTATCAATGCTGCAGGCTCCTTACTCACCAAGTAAAAGCTTTTGCTGACGCTGTGTCCTTCGGGAACATTTTCTTTTGTACCAAGCCAACTCCCACCAAAGTTTTGCTCTCCTCCATGATAAAATGTATCCAACATCTTTCTGTGCAGTCTTCTGGAAGATATTTGTTATCTTCTTTGCACATTTGGAAATCTATGTTCAATGTAGCTTTTTTTTTGAGACTTGGTGTTGCTTTTTAATAGTTTAGTACTTATAAATCTTAAATTTTAATTCAAATATATTATCACTTTCTTAAAGACTAGGACCGCAACCCACAGTGGATTGTGTAGTAGAAAGTGTTTAATACTTATTGGATTGAACTGGGATTTGAGCTGGGCCCTAGAACTTTAAATGAATTACACCTTAATCTCCATTCGATAATCTGTTCAGCAAGCATGTATCTGAATACCTAAACCCTGCGCTAGGAATGGGGGAGACTTCTTTTAACCTCTCAGTGCCTCTGTATTTTGAGGTGTCTTTCTCTCAGAATCTCTTGCTGAATTGCCTTGGAACCAAGATCCCTCAGCAGTTCATCCTGTGTAGATAGCCCCTGTTTATTGTCCTTTTTTTTTTTTTTTTTTTTTTTGAGACGGAGTTTCGCTCTTGTTACCCAGGCTGGAGTGCAATGGAGCGATCTCGGCTCACCACAACCTCCGCCTCCTGGGTTCAGGCAATTCTCCTGCCTCAGCCTCCTGAGTAGCTGGGATTACAGGCACGCGCCACTATGCCCAGCTAATTTTTTGTATTTTTAGTAGAGACGGGGTTTCACCATATTGAGCAGGATGGTCTCGATCTCTTGACCTCGTGATCCACCCGCCTCAGCCTCCCAAAGTGCTGGGATTACAGGCTTGAGCCACCGCTGGGATTACAGGCCATCTTCCTTTTTTTTTTTTTAAAGATCTGACTTTACCGAGTTACTGTTCATCTTACTAGCTCACCTGGCCTTAAATCTCTGGCGCGCGCTCTCGCTCGCTCTCTCTCTCTCTCTCTCTCTCTCTCTCTCTCTCTCTCTCTCGTGTGTGTGTGTGTGTGTGTGTGTGTGTGTGTGTGTGTTTAAGTCTCCTGAGTATTCACTGTAGGGCTTAGCCTAGTTGTCGATGCTCCCCTCCCCGATCTCAGTCCAGTTAAGGCTGGCCTGAAGTGGCAAATCCCTTCCCCCTCCTTTCCTCTAGTCCAGAGTCCAAGATGTGGGTAGAAGTGTTCGGTCAGATAAAACTATCTGAGAATGCCAGTGTCTCCCAAGCCACCCACTTTCCTGGGGAATTTTGAAAATGTCTTTTGTCCCAGCCCCACATAGAGAGGAATCCTACCAGGCAATACCAAGGTACCAAGCAGTACTGTCTGTAGTAGCCTTATTCTTCCTCCTCACTGACATGCCCAGGGGTTTTATGAAGGGTGGGGAGGGAGAAGGGACAGTGTGGAGGGATGTCAGGGTCCTCTGAGGAAAGACGGGACATGTGTCTGTGGGGCAGGAAGGCTGTGTGGGTTACTTTCTCTCAGGTCTTGGCGTTGCTACTCTTTCTGTGTCTTTCTCTGAGTCAGTTTGTCTTGGTTTCCACATGTGTTTTGGCTTCAGCCTCTCTCACCTGCCCTCTTCCGTTACCCGACAGCCTGACTGTTAGCTAGTTTCTGCCAGTGGCCCAAACCCTGACTGCTTTGTAGAGGAGGGAAGGAGGAGATCTTGGAAACAAGGGAAGCCTCCTGCTGACACCTTCCTTTCCTTTCCCAGGCCTCCAGCCCCCACGCGCATGCTAGGCCTCCTTTTTGGGGTCAGGACGAACCAGAGGAGGCCTACGGGGAGAAATAAGGAGACAGAGGGAAAAAGCAAGAGAGGAGCAACGGAGCGATAGGGGCAGAGTCAGGGAGATGAGGGAGGCTCCCTCGGGAGCCGGGTCGCCGGAGCCGAAGAGGAGGGGAAGGGAGGACGGATCGCGCAGGCTCTGACAGCCCAGCCCAGCCCTGCCGAGGCTCCCAGGTTTCCTGTCTCTTTCTCCTCCCGCTCCCTTCCCTCTCTTGTGAAATTTCTCCCCAGGGGCCTCTCCTCTGCCAGCCGGTCCCTGCTTGTGTGTGTATCCCTTCCTCTGCCCGGTGTCGGCAACAGTTCGTGGGTCTCTCCATCTCAGCCTCCCGGCCAGGCCCTCCGGGTGGACGGTGCTCCAGGCGCCCCTCCCCGGGCGGCACTATTGGCGGAGAGGTGACGAGAAGGCGGTGTCTAGCCGCCCTCCGAGGGCGGGATTAGTCGCGGCCACCCAAAGGCGGGCAGGAGGTGGGTCCAGCGGGGAGGCGGGCGGGGCCGCTGGGGCCGAGCCCAGAGCCCCGGGCGGTCGCATTGTTTTCCTCCGCGGCTCCGCGGCTGTACTCGGACCCTGGGCTCTCACGACAGCGCCCCGGACCCCAAATTCGAGCACCATCCAATTCGGACGCTCATCGCAGCTCGCCGGAGTCCAACCACGGATTGCGAACTCAGCGCGGCGCGTGGCCGAGGGCCGTCCGCAGCGATCTCGATCCCGCTGACCCGGATCCCGGAGCAAGTACCCCGGGCAGGGAAGGGGCTGCGGGGAGGCGGGGAGGGCGCGGCCGGCGGGGGGCAAGCTTCTGAAGCGCAAGGGGACCAGGGAGGGTGTCGGCGCCCAGTGTGCCTGGCTGACGGAGAGGGTCAACGAAGTTGGGGTGCAGGGAAGAAGGAGGGACCGTGGCCGAGCCCCGTAACTGTACTGGAGGGAGGAGAGTCTGGGCACCTCATTCAACTGGGCTTTCTTCGAGTCGCATCCTGCAGGATTGGGAAGCGCGAAAAGGATCATTTGAGGCGCGCACCGTAGAGAGGGTGGAAAACCTGGTCCCTTGCTTTCCTGGCAGGGAAACTAAGGCTCCGAGACCCGCGGAAAATTAGACCCTCCTGACGCCCCCGAAGGGATGGGAAGAAGGGCGCACCATTCCGGACTTTGTGTCACGGGTGCACCTCTGTCCTTGTGCAAGCCGGAGAATGAGCACCCTTTGAGGGGCTGGCTGATGCACAGAGACGGCGATGGGGCCCCTGAGCAACCTCGGTCCCAGCGCCCATCTCCGTCCTTCAGCCCGCTCGGCCCGGGGCTTTGTTAGACTGAGGTCTCCCTAAGAGGACATCCGAGCTGGCGACTGCCTCCTGAGCCCACAGACCCCACTCAGCGCCGGCCTCAGGCCCGCCCTCGTCGGTTCTCAGCCTCTGGCCCTGTTTCCCTGGCCTGGGAGACCCGCCTCCGCTCCCCAACCCCCGCTCCCATCCCCTCTCTGTCTGCGCCTGCAGGCCCCTCCAGCCCCTCCTCCCGCTAACGTGGCTCTGGGACCCGGTCCCGGCCCAGACTCTGCTACCGGCCCCTCCTCGGAGCCCCGGATCCAGTAAGGGGGAGACACGTCGAGCCCCTGGCCCTAGGCCCACCTCTTTCCAGGCTCGAGACACCTGGATTGTCCTGGTTGGGGGTTGGGTGGGAAAGAGGGTAGGTGCTGAGCCGGGGCTGAGAGCTAAGGGTAGGGGAACTGCCTTGGAGAGAGGAAGGCTCCAGTTCCACAAGGCCTCTTGGCGCGACCCCGCTCCCTCTGAGGAAGGTGTCCTGGGGTAGGCCACCAGCCCGAAGGCTTCCTGCTATTGTCCCCAGCCCAGTCTCCCCTTCTCCATCCCTTCCCCAGCTCTGCTAGACTCTGGCTATGACCCCAGCCACTCCCCAGAGGTGGCTTCAGGGCCAGGAGAGAGAACTGTTTCCTCTTCCCAGCAAGGGGGAGGATCTGGAAAGGGGAGAAAGAGTCAGCCAGGTCTCTCCCATGCGCTTCAGATGAGGGGTGTGAAGCAGCTAGGATTCTTCCAGGGCAGAGTGATCTTTTCTCCAGGCCAGGAGTTGAGGAGCTGCCCAGATGCTGCTCCCCAAAAACAGCTACAAGAAGCCCTCTTAAAGATGTATAATAGTTGAGTCTAGAGGGCCAATGCAAAGGCCAGTCAAGCGTTTTTAGAGGCTGGACTAATCCACCCTAAAGTGGTGTGTGTGTAGACTGGGTTGGAGGAGGCAGAGTCTGCTCTCTCAGGGAGGAAGGAAGGGCTGAGGGTGCTTGCTATCAGATCAGAGCATTCTGCCTGGAAATGAAGAGCATGTAAATGAGATGCAAATTAGCCTCTATTGTCCCTAGCTAAGGCGCTTTTGCTAAGAAGACTGCTGGATTCTGAGGGCTTTAACTTGGGAGTGGTCGTCATGCCCCACAAACTCTCCCAGAGACCCCCTTTGCCAAGGCTGGCCCTGTAGTTCTAGGAGTTTCTAGCAAGGGGCCATCCTCTTGCCCTGCTCCTACATCTCTGGGCGTGAAGCCACCGGCACCTTTGTAACCAAACTATTAAGTGTCATCAGTCCCCTCCCATTTTCAAGGCTTCTCCCCTACCGAAGCCTCAGCAGACTTTTGTTGAAATTTTTACATTTACTTTTAAGGGATGTGGTAAGGGGAGTGTAACTCAGTCTCTTCCCTCCTTTGTCCTGTCTTCCATCAGGTCAGAGGTTTCCTATCCCCCTCAGGCCCCCACAGGAGTCACCACCCCAGGTAAGGAAAGGGCAGCAGCTCCTGAGAGCAGCGGGTGGAAGCAGGCATGAGCAGGGAGCAGGAAGAGGGGCTGGCTCTTCTCCCCACTTGCCAGAGACCAAAGTTGTTTCCAGGGTGAAGATACTAGTTGCTCAGGGCAACTTGGAGGCAGGGGAGTGGTGGGGAGAGCAGGTTGGGGAGGATAAGAAACAAGCTATGTCCCTTTCTCTTCCTTTCTCTTCCCCTGGGAACAGCATATCCGGAAGCATGTTGGGGGAGGAGGAAGGCTCAGCCTTTCAACACCAGAGGGTCGTTAGCTGGCTGCTACTCTGCCCCTGGGGAAGGGGGCGGTCATCATTAGGTGTTCCTCTTTTCCCTCCTCCAACTCTCTTGGGACCCCACCTGACGTCAGCCTCCCCACCAGTGATGATGGATTGGGGGTGGGGAGGACACTTGGGTCCTGGCTTCAAGAGTAGAATTACTGGGGAGATGGAAGGGAGCTTGGCCTGGAAGCCCAGGGTCTGTTTTAGGGGACACGGTGGGATGGGCAACTAAGGATTGGTGAAGGATAATTACCTGTTCACAAAAGAAAGGATTCTCAACCTTCTTGACCTGATTTTTGGCACTGACTGAGCCCCTCACTTCAATTTTAGGGGAAGGATGGAAGCTGGTATGTACATCTTACTGTGGGCTCCAGCCAGGGTCATCTGGCGGATGGTGGCTGATGGGTAGAAGGAGACCTGTCTCACCATCTCTTCCACCATATCCATCTTTTTCTGAACTTTGGGCTACAACTGCCTGCCTGTCACTGAATTATTTATGTTTCAATTTCAGAGGCACCAGATGAGGGAAGGAAGGGAAAGAGGGGCACGTTTAGCCATTTTGCTTCACCAATCCCTTCTGTCCCTGGCTTCTTATAGTGGGTGGGTCTGCTCTTCCCCCCTCAAGTACATGCACCGGTTCTTAGGAGCCAGGGAGGGAGCAGGGGGCTAGGGAGCCTGGAGGGGGTGGTACAGTGGTCGGGCAGACAGCTGCAGCCAGAGCTAAATTTAGCCTCTGATCTGGCTTTGATGCAGATTCATTTTTAGTGAAGACAGTCCCCCCACCAACTCCCCTACTCAGCTTCTTCCCTAGCAGTGGGAAGGGCCCCTGAAGCATGAGCTTAGACCAGACAGTGACCTCTAGGCTGCCTACCCCAACTCTGCCTTCCTCAACTCTAGAAAGGACAGTGGCAGCCACACAGCTGCCCCGCCTGGGCATAGTGCCTGCATTGCTCCCAGGGTGCTGTGGGGGTCTGGGAGGGAGGGGGAGTCAGACATGGTGCCCTCTTCCTCCTCCCAGTGCCAAGGAGTCACTATTTATAATTTTAAGGCTTCAGTCTCTAATTATAGCTGAGAAGGGGTTAGCAAGAGGGGGGCCAGGAGGTGTCACCTACTGAATGTCCCAGACCCAGTCAGGAGAGAGGAGGAAAAGCCGAGCGAGAAGGCTGACAGCAGGAGCGGGTGTGTCCTGTCCTTACCTGGGGTCATGCTTGCAGGCCTCACACCAGCCAGTGTGGGCCAGTTGGAGAGGGAAAGGCCTTGAGTGACAATGACAGCTGGCTGGACTGGGGCAGTGCCGAGGAGAGGGTTCTTTCCCCTACCCCACAGGGTCTTCTGGGGATAGACCAGGAGAGGAGCCTGCTGGCTTGCATCAGGGAAGAGGGAACTTGGCTCCTCCCCGACTTTTCCCTGTCTCCCCTTTCAGGGCCAGCATATGGGTGAGGGGGCACCCCCTGGGGCCTGAGCTGCCCCGCACAGGATGCCCCGTGCCCCCTACTCCATGCCCTTGCTGCTACTGCTGCTGCTGCTCTCGCTTCCCCATACCCAGGCCGCCTTTCCCCAGGACCCCCTCCCTCTGTTGATCTCTGACCTTCAAGGTGAGTGCCCAGTACCTACCTTGCCCCATATCGTGAGCAATTAGAGACTGAGACCCCCTGTGTGGGAGGCAAGGTGCAGGAAGGTGCCAGCCTCAAGGAAGCAAACAGGCAGAGTGAGCTGACACCTCCCGCTAGCTGTTTCTCATCCCTGGGCTTGGTTTCTTCACTTAGAGGCAGCATCATGCAGAGGTTAAGAACACGGACTCTCAGCTAGACCAAACCTTAGCAGGTCTGAATCCCTGCTTAGCTGCTCACCAGCTGTGTGACCTTGGTTCAGTTACTCAACCTTTCTTTGCTTCAGTCTCCTCAGCTGTAAAATGAATATAATAGGGCCCGGCGCGGTGGCTCACGACTATAATTCCAGCACTTTGGGAGGCCGAGGCGGGTGGATCATGAGGTCAATAGATCGAGACCATCCTGGTCAACATGGTGAAACCCCGTCTCTACTAAAAATACAAAAAAATTAGCTGGGCATGTTGGCGCGTGCCTGTAATCCCAGCTACTTGGGAGGTTGAGGCAGGAGAATTGCCTGAACCCAGGAGGCGGAGGTTTTGGTGAGCCGAGATCGCACCATTGCACTCCAGCCTGAGTAACAAGAGCAAGAAACTCCATCTAAAAAAAAAAAAAAAAAAAAAATTAGCTGGGCATGGTGTGTGCCTGTAATCCCAGCTACTTGGGAGACTGAGGCAGGAGAATTGCCTGAACCCAGGAGGCGGAGGTTGCGGTGAGCCGAGATCAAGCCATTGCACTCCAGTCTGGGTAACAAGATCGAAACTCCGTCTCAAAAAAAAAAAAAAGAATATAATAGTATTCTGAGTGAGCTGGTGGTGGGTACTCAGGAGGCTGAGGCAGGAAGATCACTTGAGCCCAGGAGTTAAGAGGCTGTAGTGCTCTGTGATGGCGCCTGTGAATAGCCACTGCAGTCCAGTCTGGGCAGCACAGCCAGAGTCCTCCCACCCCCAACCCCTTACCCTATCCCTTAAAAAAAAGGAAGATTAAAAAAAAAAAAAAGAAAGAAAAGGGAGATTAAAAAAAAAAGTCTCCGGTGCAGTAGCTCACGCCTATAATCCCAGCATTTTGGGAGGCTGAGGCAGGTGGATCAACCTGAGGTCGGGAGTTTGAGACCAGCCTGACCAATATGGTGAAACCCCATCTTAAAAAAAGAAGTCTTCTACCTCATGGAGTTATTTAGGAATTAAATGAGGTTTTACATGTAAAGTGCTGAGGACACTGTATGGCACACTTTATATGTGTTTGCTGTTATTCTTAGCTACAAAGAGAAGACCTAGGGCCGGGCGCTGTGGCTCACGCCTGTAATCCCAGCACTTTGGGAGGCCGAGGCAGGTGGATCACGAGGTCAAGAGATCAAGACCATCCTGGTCAAATGGTGAAACCCTGTCTCTACTAAAAATACAAAAAATTAGCTGGGCATGGTGGCGCGTGCCTGTAATCCCAGCTACTCAGGAGGCTGAGGCGGGAGAATTGCTTGAACCCAGGAGGCGGAGGTTGCGGTGAGCCGAGATCGCGCCATTGCACTCCAGCCTGGGTAACAAGAGCGAAACTCCGTCTCAAAAAGAAAAAAGAAGACCTAATACTAGTTCAGTGGTTCCCAACACCTCTTACCTCCCTCTCCACCACTGGTACCAGCAATAAGTCCACCATGATAGAAAGCATAAACCCACTTTTCCTGAGAAGAACTTTTATCTATTTGCAGTCTGGAGTGCAGTGGCATGATCTCAGCTCACTGTAACCTCTGCTTTCTGGGTTCAAGTGATTCTCCCGCCTCAGCCTCCTGAGTAGCTGGGATAACAGGCACTCGCCACCAAGCCTGGGTAATTTTTGTAGTTTTAGTAGAGATAGGGTTTCACTGTGTTGGCTAGGCTGGGCTTGAACTCCTGACCTCATGATCTGCCTCCCGAAGTGCTAGGGTTACAGGCATGAGCCACCACTCCCGGCCTAGATTTAGAGGAATTTTAAGGATGGAGGAACTGCAGTTTGGTTACTGGGAGTAATTGTTGAGGGATAGATAAGAATAGCACACACTCCTATGTGCTAGAAGCAGTTCCAAGCACATTCGCAATGTTAAATCATTTATCCCTGAACTCTGGGTATCCTTTGACCACTGATGACTGTGGTTTCCACCATGAGCCAGTCAGGTGGATGCTGGAGGTGAGGTGGTCAGAGGAGACAGAAACCTTGGAGGGCTGAGGTGGCCTGTGAAGAGCCTTGAGGGGAGGGCGCAGAGGGCTGGGAGAAATGGAGTGAATAAATGCTCTGGTGGGACAGCCCGCCAGGTGGGAGTGAAAGGAAATTGCCAGCCCCAAGGCAGTTCTGAGAAGGGACTAGGCTCAGCTCTGGAGGCAGGCAGACCTGGATCTGAACTAAATGAGCAGATTCCTAAATGGCTTCTAGCCCCAGGCTCCTCATCTGGAAAATGGGGCTGAAGCTACCTCATAGGACTATGCATTAAATGAGACAGTGGGTGCAAAGTGCCACACTGTTTGGCAGAGGTTAAGCACTCAGTGTTGGTATTATTGTTAGGAATAGCTTTTGGGCACTCTAACCTCACATGGTATCCAGTGTGCCACTGCTGGGTTTCATCGGGTTGGAGAGAGTGTTGGGAAGCATGTGGCATCCTGGCTGGCCCTCAGCGCCCCACCTCTCTGTGTCCTCTAGGTACTTCCCCATTATCCTGGTTTCGGGGCCTGGAGGACGATTCTGTGGCTGCAGAACTTGGGCTGGACTTTCAGAGATTCCTGACCTTGAACCGGACCTTGCTAGTGGCTGCCCGGTAAACTGGCCGTGGCACAGTTGTGGGGCAGACATGCATGCTCCTGGGCAGACATGGGACCTGCATGGCCACTGCAGCATCTTGCAGGGGACACATGCAGGTGCACAAGCCGTGGGGTGTGGACATGCTTGGACCCAGAGCACAAATGCCAAGGCATGGAGTTAAGGGGTAGGCAGGGGGCAGAAGGTCCACACTGTTTGTCCCTGAACAGCTGACAGTGGGTAAGGTGGGGGCTAAGGAGCTCAGCTGGGGTGCCTTGACCAGGCTCTGATCCCTCCTTCTCCAACCCTTCAGGGATCACGTTTTCTCCTTTGATCTTCAAGCCCAAGAAGAAGGGGAGGGGCTGGTGCCCAACAAGGTGAGGGGCTGTGTGGGAAGAGGTCCAGACATGGAGATGAGGCTGGGAGAGGTCTAATGGGGGTCAGGTGGGTGGGAAGAAGAATCCAAAAGAAGTCATAATGTGGGGAGGGAACCCAGTTGCTCCATGATTTTCCCTCCTCAACTTCTCCCTTCAGTATCTAACATGGAGGAGCCAAGATGTGGAGAACTGTGCTGTGCGGGGAAAGCTGACGGTAAGGAGATGAGAACGTAGAGGGAAGGAGAGGATTACTCTGCCTCCAGTCTCTGTCCAGCTGGTCTCTACCATGCCCAATCTCCTTCACACTTTTTCCATCGCAGCCACAGGGGAAAACGGGGAGGAAAGAGAATTCCTGATTTTTAGTTTCTCTTACATACCTCACAGAAAAGTGAGGCTCAGAGAGGCCAAAGGATTTACTTAAGGCCAGAGGGCCAGCAAACAGCTTAGTTGAAACTTTATCCCACATTGCTTTGATGGATTCAAAAGGAGTAGCCCACCTATCTATTGCCCCCTTGTCTCAGACCCAGAACCCCATCACTGACCTAGAATTTTGGGTTCTCTAGGACGAGTGCTACAACTATATTCGTGTTCTTCTTCCCTGGGACTCCCAGACGCTCCTTGCCTGTGGAACGAACTCATTCAGCCCTGTGTGCCGCAGCTATGGGGTACAAAAGAGAGGGTGGGAGTCAGGATAGGAGTTGGGGGACCCCAAGATGGGCAATCAGTTTGATGGGAAAGGACCAGGAAGTGGGGTTGGGGAATGGGAGTGCCCAGAATGCAAGGGGTCAGAGGGAGTGGGGAGGAGGCAATGGGGCAGGAGGGGCAGAGGGAGTGGGGAGGAGGCAATGGGGCAGGAGGGGCAGAGGGAGTGGGGAGGAGGCAATGGGGCAGGAGGGGCAGAGGGAGTGGGGAGGAGGCAATGGGGCAGGAGGGGCAGAGGGAGTGGGGAGGAGGCAATGGGGCAGGAGGGGCAGAGGGAGTGGGGAGGAGGCAATGGGGCAGGAGGGGCAGAGGGAGTGGGGAGGAGGCAATGGGGCAGGAGGGGCAGAGGGAGTGGGGAGGAGGCAATGGGGCAGGAGGGGCAGAGGGAGTGGGGAGGAGGCAATGGGGCAGGAGGGGCAGAGGGAGTGGGGAGGAGGCAATGGGACAGGAGGGGATAGTCAGTGGAGCCATACTCCAAGACCCTAAAGGTTCTAGGATCTGCTCCCTCTGCTCCCAGATAACTTCGCTGCAGCAGGAGGGTGAGGAGCTGAGTGGGCAGGCTCGATGCCCCTTTGACGCCACCCAGTCCAACGTGGCCGTCTTTGCAGGTGTGCAACTGGGCATGTGAGAAGCAAGCATGTGGCTGGAGGGAGCTCCCACCTCAGCTCCTCTCCCAATGGTCTTCCCCGCCCCCCTTCCCCTGAGTGGAGGGTTGAGGTAGGGGCCAGGGCCAGGCCTAGGCAGGGGTGCGGGAGGCCCAAGAAGAGGCAGGACGCAGATCCCTGAGCCCTCCCCTGGCCCCACTTCACCCATCCCTCCAGAGGGCAGCCTGTACTCAGCCACAGCTGCGGATTTCCAGGCCAGTGATGCTGTAGTTTACAGAAGCCTCGGGCCTCAGCCCCCACTCCGCTCCGCCAAGTACGACTCCAAGTGGCTCCGAGGTCAGGGCGGGCCTGGGGAAAGGAGACTGTTCTCGGGGAGGAGATGCAGAGGGAGGACTGTGGCAGGGAGCAGGCAGAGGGTGTGGTAGTGGGTATGTACACAATGGGGAGAGGGGTGTGGGACCAGGAGCTTTTGAGCAGATACAGATACTCTTCTATACCCTTCCCTGTCACTCCCCACCTTAGAGCCACACTTTGTCCATGCCCTGGAGCATGGAGACCATGTCTACTTCTTCTTCCGCGAGGTCTCTGTGGAGGATGCCCGACTGGGGAGGGTAAGGAGGTGGGCATCAGGGTGGGTAGCTGGAGGGTTCTGCTGGATCCTGAGGAGCCAGTCTGTAGTGGGAGGAGAGCTCTTGACAGTGATCTCCACAAAGCAATCCCCTGGTCTCTCAGCCCCCAGCTTGGAATAGCCCCGAGGCCTCTGCCCCATTTTGCTTGTCCCTCACCCTTGACCCACACTGACCCACCACCATACACCCTTCATTCACTATGCTTCACACGTTGCTCCCTTGGTGCTAACTCACCACGCTCATGCACACAGCTGGCCCTGTGGCTCCTTCACTGCTGTCTGCTCCACTCTCTTCCCCCAGGTGCAGTTCTCCCGAGTAGCCCGAGTGTGTAAACGTGACATGGGCGGCTCGCCTCGGGCCTTGGACCGCCACTGGACATCCTTCCTGAAGCTGCGGCTCAACTGCTCTGTCCCTGGGGACTCTACTTTCTATTTTGACGTCTTACAGGCCCTGACTGGGCCTGTGAACCTGCATGGCCGCTCTGCTCTCTTTGGGGTCTTCACTACCCAGACCAATAGGTTGGTACTAGTCTAACTAGTGTGACCTGATCTGTCCCCTGCCTCACCAGCCTCCAAACTCCCCTTTCACAGCCTGCTGATGGGGGGCCGTCAAGGAAACCTCTAAGCAAAGCCAGTTTGCTGTCTTGCCTACCATGTTTTCTCCTAGTGTGGCACCCAGTGGCTGCCCCACCTCCTCAGTCTCTACCTCCTAACGTGGTGCGTGAAGGGGGCCACCACTTCTTCCTGGGGAAAGTTGTGCAGTTCCTTTCAACACCTATCCTGCATCTTTTCTGGCTCCTCCAGCATCCCTGGCTCTGCTGTCTGCGCCTTCTACCTGGATGAGATTGAGCGTGGGTTTGAGGGCAAGTTCAAGGAGCAGAGGAGTCTGGATGGGGCCTGGACTCCTGTGTCTGAGGACAGGGTCCCCTCACCCAGGTACCCAAGACGGAGTTGCTTTTGTGGGGGCAGATGCTGTTTGCTTCTGCAAGACGGGATTATGAGGAGGGGGTAAGATATCCAAGGCCTCAGGGTGGGGAGCTGTAGTGGGGTAGCAGTGGGACCAAAGAGCTATGGCAGGGAAGGGGAGCAGTGGTATGAGTGTCTGTGTGGAGGGGGAGAAAGGCTTTCTAGTCATGTTTGGGAGCAATGGGGGGCACAGAGCTTAACGTAAGCTCTAGCTCCCAGTCCCAAGGCAGCCCCTTCCTATGCACCCCCCAGGCCAGGATCCTGTGCAGGAATAGGGGGAGCTGCCTTGTTCTCCTCTTCTCGAGACCTCCCTGATGACGTCCTGACCTTCATCAAGGCTCACCCGCTGCTGGACCCCGCTGTGCCACCTGCCACCCATCAGCCTCTACTCACTCTCACTAGCAGGTATGGGGCTGAAAAACACCACTTCCCCCATCCTCAGCCACCCTCCTTTTTCTTTGACCCCACAAGGTAAACCACATTGGTAGGAGGAAGAACTTGTAAAAGCAGAATGGAGAGAGCTAAGAAGAGAACCCTGGGGCCTGAGGGGAGGGCACAGCCACAGCTACCAGGACAGCCGGGCTCTCCCTGAAATGCTCAGGCTTCCCTAGACAGGTTCCCTGACCTCAGGCCCTTTCCTCCAGGGCCCTACTGACCCAGGTAGCTGTGGATGGCATGGCTGGTCCCCACAGTAACATCACAGTCATGTTCCTTGGCTCCAATGACGGGACAGTGCTGAAGGTGCTGCCCCCAGGTGGGCGATCTGGGGGACCTGAGCCGATCCTCCTGGAAGAGATTGATGCCTACAGCCCTGCCAGGTGAGACCTTTGGAGAGCAGGTCCCCTGCAGAGCAAGGATGGAATGGGAGGTAGCAGCTGTGGATGTGGGAATGGCTTGGAAACATCAACATTGGCTTTTGCAGGGTGGGAACTCTGGGCTAGAGAGGCTTGGCAAGAAGACTGGACAGTGTGGTCGGGCAGGGCAGCTCCATGGGTTGTGCTCAGTTTCTTGTGCACCTCCCCGCTTTCTGTTTTTCTACTCACTCAGGGTAAAGGTAGCTTCACCTGTCCATCTCTGGTTCCTTCTGGCCTCATCCTAGGTGCAGTGGGAAGCGGGCAGCCCTAACAGCACGACGGATCATAGGGCTGGAGCTGGACACTGAGGGTCACAGGCTCTTTGTGGCTTTTTCTGGCTGTATTGTCTACCTCCCTCTCAGCCGGTGTGCCCGGCATGGGGCCTGTCAGAGGTGAGAGGGGCCTGAGGCCCTGTGTGGGCAAGCTCCCCAGGCCAGCAAGAGCACAGAAACAGGTCTTGGGGTTGGCAGGGAAACATAGGGGATGACTGGGATGTGTGTGGGTACCTCAAGCATTCTGAAGGTGGGCAGCAACCAGGGTGTGGAGAGACTGGGGTGGGCAGGAGAGAATGAGGCTGGGAGTCTCCTCTAAGCAAGGGCAGGAAGAGGCAGCAGAATGTTAAGTGACTAGAACGGAAAAGGTTCCAGCTTCACATGCCTCTGCTTTCCCTAGGAGCTGTCTAGCTTCTCAGGACCCATACTGTGGATGGCACAGCTCCAGAGGCTGTGTGGATATCAGGGGACCTGGTGGGTGAGTGATGGGTCCTTGGATTTCCTGAGCATAAAATTCCCCACCACTAAAAGAGCAAGAGGGCCAGAGTGGGAGACAGGGACAAGGTACAGAATTTTAGAGCCACCTCATTTTCCTCCTAGGACTGATGTGGATCAGGCTGGGAACCAGGAATCCATGGAGCATGGTGACTGCCAAGGTAAACAGAAGAGGTGGCTGCGGTTGAAGTCACAGCTGCACATGGCTATGATGGCCACAGACACCATCCCAGGCTTGGGCTCTTGTCCTTCTCTCCTGTGGCACAGTCACCCCATCAGTTCTTCATGAAGCTTCTCCCTCCCCGCAACCTTCACCCTCTTGCTTCTTCACAGACGGAGCTACTGGGAGTCAGTCTGGCCCTGGGGATTCTGCTTATGGTGAGTCCTCTTGTACCAACTCCACCTTCCCTTGCTCAGTCCACATACCTGAGTGTGTGTCCTGTGGCAGCAGCAGACCAGCATCCTGAATACCCTGGGAGTCTCAGAAAAGGGTCAGCATCCTCCAGATACCCAGCATGTAACTCAGTACTTGGCACACAGTAGGGCACTTTTTGAATAAATAAATCAATGTCCTGCATGATGAGCCCTGCCCCATGCCCAGAGGAAAGTTAGAGGCTGGTATTCTGGACTCCTAGGTTCCACAGGAGGGAGGAAGGACCCCTGGAAGGGTGTCAAAGGGAAAGATCAGGAGCCTCACTGGCTCTGACCTGGTCTCTGTCACCAGTGCTTCCTGGTCCTGACCTTGGGACCCTCAGTCCCCCCAGTGATGCCCACCCCCGGCCCCAGTCTTCCACTCTTGGAGCTTACACTCGGGGTAAGGGGGCTACCTGGGAGGGACAGGAGTGAAGTGTGGGGCTGCTGATTCTCGGAGTGTTCTAAGCCCCTCACTGACCGGTGTTTGGTGCTCACTAACGCCTGTTTGGAGCCTCCTCTCCCTAGAGCTGGGCATCTCAGCCCCACCTCCGTCTGCACGAGCAGTTTGGCAGTTGCTCTTGGCATGGCTACAGGGGCCAGAACTGGGATGGGGACTCCCCAGGCCCAAGCTCTGGCCTGAGTGTGAGGGGTAGTACATGGGCTGTTGCTGAGGGGTCAGGGGAGGTGAATCCTAAGGATGGTATCAGGCCTGGGAACTGCCGGCGCCTCTGAGCCTAGGTCCCCCTCGCACCGCCTCCCCTTGGCTGAGCCTCCCTCCTCCCTCTCGGTCGGCAGGCGTGCGCCGGGACCTGCCCCCAGCCTCAGCCTCCCGCTCCGTCCCCATCCCACTCCTCCTGGCCAGTGTGGCCGCAGCTTTCGCCCTGGGCGCCTCAGTTTCTGGCCTTCTGGTCTCCTGTGCTTGTCGCCGCGCCCACCGACGTCGAGGCAAGGACATCGAGACTCCGGGGCTCCCGCGCCCTCTTTCCCTCCGCAGTTTGGCCCGGCTCCACGGCGGGGGCCCAGAGCCCCCGCCGCCCTCCAAGGACGGCGACGCGGTGCAGACGCCGCAGCTGTACACCACCTTCCTGCCGCCTCCCGAGGGCGTGCCCCCGCCGGAGCTGGCCTGCCTGCCCACCCCCGAGTCCACGCCGGAGCTGCCGGTCAAGCACCTCCGCGCCGCCGGGGACCCCTGGGAGTGGAACCAGAACAGAAACAACGCCAAGGAGGGCCCGGGCCGCTCTCGGGGCGGGAACGCGGGGGGCGGGTTCGCTCCCCGCGTGCTGGTGAGGCCGCCACCTCCCGGCTGTCCCGGGCAGGCGGTGGAAGTCACCACCCTGGAGGAATTGCTGCGCTACCTGCACGGTCCGCAACCGCCCAGGAAGGGGGCCGAGCCCCCACTTCCTTTAACCTCGCGGGCGCTCCCGCCGGAGCCCGCCCCCGCCCTCTTGGGTGGCTCCGGACCCCGGTCCCCGGAGTGCGCCCAGCCGCTGAGGCTGGACGTGCCCCCCGAGGTCAGGTGCGCCGCTGCCCCCGCCCGACCCGCGCTCTCCGCCCCCGCTCCCCGGCTGGGCGTCGGCGGGGGCCGGAGGTTGTCTTTCTCCAGCCACCGGGCCCCCCCTGCCCTGCTCACTCGAGTCCCCTCGGGGGGTACCTCCAGGTACTCCGGGGGGCCCGGGAGGCACCTCCTGTACCTAGGCCGGCCCGAGGGCTACCGGGGCCGCGCCCTGAAGAGGGTGGACATGGAGAAGCCCCAGCTGTCCCCGAAGCCTCCCCTCGTCGGGCCCTCCTCCCGCCAGGCCGTCCCGAATGGCGGCCATTTCAACTTTTAAAGGGAGCGGCCCGCGGCCTCCAGCGGAGGGAGGGAGGGCGGGCGGGCGGGGTGGGGGGTCCTCTCGGCCGCGAGCGGGACGCTCTTCGGGACGCTCCTCAGGACGCCTCACCGCCCCCTCGCCCCGCACCTCCAGCCTTCCGGACCCGCAGAGTCACCCGAGGCCCCTTTCCGCCTCGGGTCTATTTATTGACTGTCGACTGTCTTTCCCCCTGCCCTCGAGAGAGGAGTGGGAGGTGAGAAGCCCGTCCCCTCAGTGAGCCAGCACCTCGGGGGGAGCTGGCGGACTCCCACTCCCCGCTCCCTTCCAGCCAAGCTGCCTTAACTCGCCCCTCGGGGCGTCCCCAGACACTGGGCCCCAGGCGGGCCGCGCGGCGGACGGGCTGGGCCGGGGCCGCGCGCTGTGTCCCGAGTCCTCGGGCCTCCGGGGCTGGGACGTGCCTCTCCTACTGTGTAGGAGCCTCCGCTTCCCAATACAGCAGTGTCCGCAGCCGCTGCCTGACTTTACTCGGCCGGGGAGGGCGGCAGTCGGTCGGCTCGCTCGGGGCGCCCTCGCCCTCCGCCTCCGTCGGGGCCCTGGGCTCTCCCGGGTAATGGGGTGGCTGCGGTCCCGCCGGGGTGAGTCAGGAAAGGTTTCCCGAAGGAAGCGAGCGAACTATTGGTGTCGAGGTGAGCCTGGGCCCGGGGGCCCCGGGAGAGGTGGGGTGGGCCTGGGAGGGCCCTCGGAGCTCGTTCCCGGATCGAGGTAAGAGGGACCTGCTTACAGGCCTAGTCTATCGGATGGGGCGGGGGAGGGAACTTTTTGAGAAATAAAATGAAGCTGCAGCGTACGTTAACTGAAGTTCCACATCAGAAAATCTTGTCCTGAGAATCTGGCTAGAAGAGTTTGGGTCGCAGGAGGGGTAGGCTGCAAAAAACGCAAAAGATTCGGCCCTGTTGGAGGCAAGACTGCCCCCAGCTCTTCCCTGAGGAGTGGCCCCCGCGGAGAGCGGGAGGGGGCGAGCGCGCGCGCGGCGTCACACGCATGCGCAGCCCCACCCCGCGAGGCACCTCCGTGCGCTCGGGAGAAACCAGCGTGTGGAGGTCCTGATGCTCGCTTTGCTCCGGTTGGAACTGGCTGCCCGGGCTGGGACTGGCTGCGTTATCCCCGGCACCACTGGGAGGGACGAACAGGACCACCTGCACCGCCCACCACCCTCGCGCTAACGACGCTTAAGGCCTAACGGCGGCGGCTGCAGTTGGTGTAAATTTACAAATCGGGTTTTTCACCCGTTCGTGGCTTCAGTGTCCGCCCAGTTCAAGCGTCACATTCTCCCGCTGGCGCCGCCTGGGGGCCGGGGCAACCCACTGCTGCTAAGGAAGCGTCAGGAGTCCCCTTCCGGTTTGCTGCCTAAAAGTCCTCGGCGAGAAACTGCTAAGGACAATTAAGTGAAGAACCCTGAGGTTGTTCCTAGTTCCTCCCTTTACTACCTGAGATTATGACGGGTCAAAACTCCCAGAGCCTCCATTTGCTCATCTGAAAAATGGGGTTGAGAGGCTCAAGTACTAGAATGTGAAAAAGCTTTCTAAAGGCATGGCATCTTGTGAGATATATTTCCTCCAAACTCACTCATAGGCTATTCCTATTCCTAACGTTGCGACCTGCCTTTACTAGGCGATCCTTTTCCCTTTGTATCCTTAGAATTTTCATCTATAGATTTTACCCTCGGTTTTTTAATGCCCTCTGAACATTACTCCTACTTCAATTAAGTTTGGCTAGATTTGGTTGTCCTCCAGAGTCTGACGTCTTTTTGCTTGGCTTTTGTTTCACCAGGTTGGAGTGGTCCTTTAGGTCTCAGTTTTTCCCGTATTGGGTGCCTTATCTAAAGCAAGGTGCTTCGGGGCCAGTGTTAGTTTTGTAGATACTGGAGGAAAGCAAGCAAGCAAAGAAGGAAGGAGTAGAGAATCCAGTCACTTGACTTCATTATCCTCTTCAAACCGAGACTTTAAAGCAAGGACAAGGCAAAAATTTCAAGGCTGTAGCCTTTCACAGTCCTCTGAGGGATAAAACTCAAATACCGTTCTTGCCCCGAAGGTGGTCACAAACAAAAGGGGTAAATAAATGATCCAAATCTAGATCTAAAAGAGAGATACATAACAATGGAAATTGAATCTTTTAATTCTTAGCAGGCAGTAGTAATTTAAAGGGTAAAGTCCTGGTTGTTTAATTGTAAAATATGTTCATTTATTACTATTTATAAGTATGGTGACTTCTTTAGCCAAAGAGTATCTAAACCGGACTCTCAGAGCTAACAGAAGTAACTATGTCGCAGGGACAGCGACAGTCCTTGGTCTCTACCACTTTTCTATGTGACCTTGGCAATTCAACTAACCTCTTTGAGGCTTTTTGGTAAGAAATGGAAAGAACATATGCCAACAGGGATTTGTAAAGCACCATATAAATATATATATTTAAATTAAGTGCTTTGTGGGAAAGTTATTTGCCCAAAATAGAGATTTCTACCAATTATGCAATTCATTAATACAGCAGATACCGCTCCCTGATAGAGAGTAGTAAATAATAAATTAAGAGGATGAATTCAAAGAAATTATTCCTGACGACAGGATAAATATGACTTCAAGGAATCTGCTAATATTCTTTTTTAAAAATCATACTATTAGCTCAGTTTTTGTCTTTAGGAAAACCAGAATGTGCCAACAGGAGCACAGCATCATCCTCAGGGATTTCTAGGCTGATTTCTCAGAGGCGTCCTGGGAGATTATGGAGAAACCATGGCCCCAGCAGGCAGAGTCCATCAGTTTATGTGAGGCTTTGGGGACTTGAAACAGAAGGTTCCACACACATAGAGCTTGAAAAGCTGTTCAGCATCTTGGGTTCTTTGGAGGCAAAGTCACAGGGGCCTGAGCTATTATTGTCTCTCAGATTTTTAACTCCTTAATGTCGTCATCCCATGCATGAGAACCACACAGGTCTGAGTCATTCTCTGCTACTTAATCCAGCAGCTGACCCTTCAGAACTGTTAGCTCATAAGAACGTAAGGTTATATGTGTGAAAGTAAGCCTCAAGTACGTGGATAAAATATGAAGCCTATAAATCTAAAAGATCACCTATCTTTACCAGGTGTACTGGACGGGGTCCCAACAGGAAATAACATTCTCAAAATAATGAAGGGTTATTTTTAAAGGTATGGGCAAATGATAGGTTAGTAGCTGGAAGCTAATAATTGCCCTAGGCCTAAAAGGATAAAGGAGATACTGGTTTCTAGGTCCTGGAGGGGGAGAGTGCCTTGAGAGAAGCAGTGACTTTTTTTTTCTTTTTTTTTTTTTAAGATAGAATTGCAGGCTCTAGTGGAGTGATGTGATCTCAGCTCACTGAAATCTCCGCCTCCCAGGTTCAAGTGATTTTCGTGCTTCAGCTTCCCCAGTAGCTGAGACTACAGGAGTTAGCCATCGTGCCGGGCAGATGTCAATACATTGACTTCAGTTTTTTCTCTCCTCTGAGTCTCCTGCCAGGGCTCCCTATTGGCTGAATCCAACTGGAAGCCAAAACACAGGAAGCCCATTGATGTTCGTATATGTCACTCTCCCAGGACAGAGAACAGGAGACAATGGAGGAGCATAATCTGGAAGGAAAGAAAGAAAACATCCAGCATACCTAGAGATGAGGACCCTATTCATTCCCCACAGGAGAGATTATTTTTTACTCTTCTTGCTTAAGTGTTGCTGGCCAGAAACTATGCAGATAACCCCAAATTAGTTTTTTTTTTTTTTTTAATAAGACGGGGTTTCACCATGTTGGTCGGGCTGGTCTCGAAGTCCTGACCTCAGGTGATCCGCCCACCTTGGCCTCCAAAGTGCTTCGATTACAGGCGTGAGCCACCCTGCCTGGCCCCCAAATTAGTTTTGGAGTAAAATTTACTTTGGGAAGTTTATAGGAAATGCTACCCCCCGCCCTTTTTTTTGGAGACAGTCTCACTCTGTCGCCCAGGTTGGAGTGCAATGGTACAATCTTGGCTCACTGCGATCTCAGCCCCTAGGTTCAAGCAATTCTCCTGCCTCAGCCTCCATGCCACCACACCCAGCTGATATTTGTATATTTAGTAGAGATGGGGTTTCACCATGTTGACCAAGCTGGTCTTGAACTCCTGCCCTCAGGTGATTTACCTGCCTCAGCCTCCCAAAGTGCTGGGATTACAGGTGTGAGCCACTGAGCCCGGCCCTGCTCCTCCTATTTTTCTAAATAAATGTGTGCTGATTTTGGACTAAGATAGCAGCAAGCACCCTATTAACCAAGAATAGCTGAGAAGCTGGCAAAGTAAATCTGCTCTTTCTAAGCATTCCTGAGTCTAATGTTTTTCCTCGTACATCTCAGCATTGACTTTACTCCCACACAAGGCACATAATCATTTTCTTCAGCTCCTGTCCTCCCGTGGTTGTTTGCTTTTAGGGAAGGGAGTGGGGGGAGAGAGAGAAGGAAAATGTACATTTAATAAGCTAGTCAAAAGCCCTCCTCATTCTCATTTCACTTCTTACCTCAACCTGCTCTGCCTGTCAAGAATACCAGGCTGAGAGAAGTGGATAAGGAAAAGGCAGTGGGTGTGCATGGGTTAGATCTATGCCCCTCCCCCTGCAATTGGCTCAGCTGGACAGGGAAAATGAGCTCTTGTTCACCTGTGATCAGAGAATAGATACAAATTGTGCCCAGATGAAAACAAATTCAATGACACCCTAAAATGGTCGGCTTTGACATTTTATTGAGAAACATTTTTATTTTAAATGACAGTACAAAAACTGTATATATAATGTAGATCTGTATAAGTATATATACATACAAATGCTTATACACATATACACACAAACTTGTTCATCAGAATCAAATCCTATTTTATTCTAAATAAAAAAGTATATTTAAGTTTTTCTAAAAATATGCTGTACATAAAGCTGTCAAACAACCTGAAAAACTGAGGACATTGTTAGAATAGTCTGCGTGCACCGCGCCCCCCCCCCACCTGCCCCAATACACACACAAATAGCCTTGACAGAAGGAGAGCACATGGGGCAAAGCCAGGGAGAGAGCTGCTACCATCACTGTTGCTAGAACAAGATGCTTAAAGCCAGCGAGGAAGCTCATGATACAGAAGGTGACCTAGATTAACTTTTAGAAACAAACCACCTCAGAATAAACAAAAAATATGTTATAGGGAAGGAGGGGAATGGAGAGAGAAAAGACAAGGCCCAGAGAGTAGGAATGACCTACTAATTAAATTCAAGTGCCTGAGAAAGGCTCAATGAGATAGGAACAATGGAATCACAAAAGCAGAAAAGGAGGGGTAGGGGGAGATAGGGAATCACAGTCTCCTGCTACTACCATGCCAAACTGCTACTGTAGAGTCTGGGAATGTCACCTCATCCCCTAATACTAGATGGGCTAAAAAATAAAAATTTTAAAAGGGCAGCATCAGAGACTCAAAAAATAATTGGCATAGGAAATAGAGTATGACTCAGAAGGGGGAAATAGTCACCACATAAAATGGAGAGAGAACCTAGAGTGCACACAGGTGGTCATGACATATAGTCCATCCTGAAGCTCCTTTTCTAGCCATCCAGAGATGGGCCTGCACAAGGAGTAGAGAAGAGGAAGCCTTCTCTAATAAACTGGTACAAAAACTGACTCCCATTCAATGTTAAACTTTTTTTTATTTTTTTGAGACAGAGTCTCCCTCTGTTGCCCAGGCTGGAATGCAGTGGCGTGATCTTGGCTTACCACAACCTCCACCTCCCAGGTTCAAAGGATTCTCCTGCCTCAGCCTCCCGAGTAGCTGGGAGTACAGGCACA